GTCCTTTTTGTGTTGACCTTAAAAGCTGACTGCACACATATTTATAAGTTTCTATATGTGTTTTATTTGTATTCATGTTTTTATGTGATCAAATATGACTGTGAGTCTCTGGCAAGCAGGGGCTGTGTTTCATCCATTCCAGGTATCTTCCTTTTCATGTCTAGTTCTTGCTCACTCCTGGCCACCAATAGATATATGACAAATAACCGTGTTGTCCAGTGAGAGGGGATGGGATTGACTGATGACCTCAGTAAGGAGTGTAGGGTCCATTCTTTCCACAACGTGCAATTTCTGGTAGTAGAGGATGGAAAAAGAATTGTGTACAACTACGAGGTCTGAGGTCCCTTGCCTGAAAGCTTTGAAAATCCCTTGTATCTTATCAGGAAACTATGTGTGAGAGATGCCAGGAAACCAGTATAGCTTGGGCTTATAGCAACTGGGGATTAGAGGATTCTTCCAAGCCAAGTACAGTGGCAAATGCCTATAGGCCCAGCACTTTTGGGAGGGTGGTGGCAGGAAAATTGCAAATTTAAGCTGAGTCTGGGCAATTTAGTGATTTAGCAAGACCCTGTCTGGAAAAACAAAAAAGAGGATTTTCCCCCAACCAACAGAGTTTCCGGAAGTAGACATTACCACTTCTCTCCTTCCTGTCTTTTCCCTCCTCTTTTCTTCTTCTAAAGGACTTTTGCCCTAAATGATCATAGTAGTTCCTACCTGATGTGGAACTCTGGAGAATTCAGAGCATGTGAAGAGATGCTGATAAGTGTTCCCTGAGATCCACCAATGCAGACGCTTGAGCTCCCCCTTTATCTGGACACACCAGGCAGGGTGTGGTCTCACTCATTCAACTGCCGCCATTATTTTGCAAGGCAGAAACTGCACAGCCATAACCGCCTCCTCTCCCACTTGAGGGAGTCTCTTTCAGGGACTGGTGAGTTTGGGATTCTGACTCCAAGCCCTAGGCTTGCCACAAGTGCTGTGCTGAGCTGGGGGATTGAGACCCAGGTTTTGCATGGCTGGCGGCACCGAGGGGCTTTGCCTACGGCAGTGATAGGCCTCTGCAGATGATGGCTTCCTGAGTCTTTTCTCTTTGGGATCTTCATGCCAAGCCATGCAGCTGCTTGTTACCATCTGGGAGCCGCCACTGAAGTGGTGAATGACTAGTCACTTCTTTTCTCAGGGTGTATAGAGTTAAGGCAGATTTTAGCACAGTCAGGCAACTTGGGTGTGTGCTACTCCCTTATAGACCCTCCATTCTTTTACAGCCACAGGAAGCCATGCATAGAAATGGGGGTGTGTGTACTTGGTCCTAGTGAGGCAGGGAAGAAGGTGCACCATCACAGGAGTGTGTTTCCTGATTTGCATCTCCAGCTGCCCTTTCAGTAGGGTGAATCCCAAGTAGGGTCTGCTGAAGCGGGGCACAGGTGTGAATTCCAACTGGAAATGCTGAGGGGAAGCTCTAGGGCTCTCTGAGAAGAGTATGTGTGTGTGTGGCGGGGCGGGGGGATGCTTGTTCTAAGCAGGAGAGGGAAGGAGGTCCTGGAGGGAAGAGGTAAGAGAAAGGGAGCGAGACAAAACTTTGGGGAGCCACAAAGGCTGTGATTTGTGTTGTGTATATTATCTTCCTGTTTGTCCTCTATGATCAGTGTTGCACTGTGGAGTCAGACTGTTCCTCACAATCAGTTGCTGGGGTTCTGCTTCAAGGTAGAAGAGAAAACTGGCTGGAGGGGCCCAACCAATGGGTTCTATATCAAAAGGATGCTTTTTTCTAGGAGGAGGTGATTTAGGCACTACTATGTCTCCATGAACACCTGGCACCTTACCCTAAAACAGGCTGCTTCTGGTTCTCTTCCCACACTGTACTGTGAGCCTCCCTCAGGCTTTCCTCACCTCCATGACCCGGGCCCTGACCAGTGTGGCTTTAAGCTGGCCCAAGTTCCCAACACACCATTAGTTGCATTTGAGTTCAGCTGGCATTTATTTAGCACCCACCTCACACCAGCCCTGTGGCAACCTGGCACATGAAGAAATGCCTAAGGTGTGCCCCGCTGCTTGGAGCTCAGGGAATAGATTGCTGCTGTGGGCTGCAAGTGGAATGAAAGAGATGAGTACAAGGGATGTAACAGCTGCAGAGAGCGGGCATAGGAGCAGGCTCCCAGGAGAGTGGGCCTCTGAGCTAATGGAGGAGGTAGAGGGAAGGGCATTCCTGGCAGACACAGGATCCCTTGTGCATCTGTGTCTTGCAAATACACCTCAGCCTGATAGGCAAGGAGGCTGGATTGGGTCCGGGAGGCCCATGGGGCTGTAGATGTCAGTGCAGAGTTGGGACTTCACCCTGCAGGTGGCCATCTCAAGGAGAGAGTGGGAGGACAGAGAGAAAGGCAGAGCGCTTCAGTCAATTCATGAGTTTGATTTTTTTTTTAACGTGGAACACACATTTGGTTTGAAAAAGCAAATTCAGACTTAAAATTTTATATTTGGAAAAGGTGAAAGGAACACCTGCCCTTTTGATAATAGAGTCTTAACTCTGACTAAGTTTTGGCTGGAAGAGATGGAATTTAAAAAAAAAAAAGAGGTATAGGAAAAGTGCCCCTGGTAAAGGGCAGGAGGTGTTAGCAGGGCAGTGGCAGGAATGGGCCAGATTTGCAAGTTATTTAGGGTAACTCTTCGGCATGCTTGGATGGCACAGGGTTACAGGGGCAGGAGAGAGGAAGAACCAATGGCCAGAGAGCGTTGGATGGGAGGAGAGATGGGGGCATGATTTAGGCGTGGTGCTCTGGGTTGGGAAATCTTTAGGACATAAAACCAGACTTTGATGACTGGTTAGACGCACAGGACAAGAGGAGGCAAGAGTCAAGGCTGCTTTCCCATGATGATTGGGGGCTAGTGGTACAGTGGTGACTGGTTGGTAGGGGCAGAGAAGAGGGGCTGTGGTGTAAGGGAGGCTATGGGTGAGGTTAGTGGGAGTGGTGGTCTGTTTCACAAGTTGATTTTAGGATGACTGTAGGGTTTGTGGGTGGGCGAATGCTTCATAGTCTAGCGGGCAGCCAAGGACTAGGATCCACTGAGTGACTCTTCCCACCTCACAGCCCAGGTTGACAGCACACTGAGAGCAGGTGGCCCTGAGGTGCCATGTGCCGGGTGCTTTCTGAACTACCCAGGGTGCCTTTTCTCACCATGGCTCACACTGCACCTTGCTTTTCAGCTCTGCCAAGGCCTGCAGGTAGATCTCAAGGCACATGTTGGGGTTATACTGGGCTTAATGCCTCCACTAGCCAGGCTGTAAGGGTTCACCCAGACCATGGCCATCCAAAGTCCTCAGAGCACCAGCCCTGTCCAGGTGCAGGGGCCCTCTTGGAGAGCCCCGGCAGAGGGCCTCTCCCTTCCCTTTCCCACATTGAAACTTGCTGATGCCTGTCCTGACACAGCTCAGCCAGAGTCTGCAGTCAGCTATTTGACAGTTTTGCTGCCATAGTTTACAGATTGTAGCACTTTTGCCCCCAGTACTTCTCAGGGCTGTCTACATTTCAAACAGTGGATAACACCATAACCCAAGGAGTAGAGCCCTAATAGTGGAATTCCAACAGTGATGGAGGCTGAGATGGGAGTTCTTTTCTTCATGGTGCTATTTTGCTCAGCTAGGAGACAGATGCTTGCCTTCTTACATGAATAGCACATGTCACTTCTGGAGACAAAGGATAAATTCTGTTGTTACACCAAGAAATAGCTTAGGCTCTAATAGTTCAAATCTTAGCTGATTATAGCCCCAGGGCCCTTCATGGCTAGGTGCTGGGCCAAGGAGGAAGCTGGTGCTTGAAGTAATGCAACTTTCCTGGCTGTAGGACTGGTCTAAGGGAGGGCATTGTGATGTGTCAGCAAACCACTGTGCAGTTAGCCCTGGTAGGGAAGTCTCTCATATTAGTGGGCACTGGATAGGAGTAGCATAGAGTGGTGGCTATGAGCTCATTCTAGGCAAAAATAAAACCCTGGAAGGGGGATACAGATAGTGCTAAACATGCTAGCCACAGAGCCTTGCTCTTGAAAGCAATTTTTGGTGCCTTAACTGAAAGGCTTTAGGGACCTCTAGGCATTGAAATGCTGAGCCCCAGCCTACTGGCTGGGTTGAGGATAAGGCTATGCCTTAGTGGCATGTAGTTGTCCAGAATTCTCCCAGGCATATCATACCTTCTAAGTCTACTCTTCTTGTCCCTCCTGGATGGTTCCATTAGGGACAGTATCAGATCAGGGATGGAGAAAAGGCTATATCAAGGGGCAAAGGGACCTGCCAGTCCTGGATGAAACAGCCCCTGCACCTCTGGAAGACTGTCACTCTTGTATGTGTGCTTAAACACTTCACTGATTAATCTTTGGAAGACCTCACTGTGCAGGAGTTTTAGCGGGATAAATTGCCCGTGTGTGTAAGATACTAACATTACCTTCCTTCTTCAGGAGTACTCCACGACTTTTTTCCCAGGTATTACCTGGGGGCTTCCTTCTATTGATTTCTCAGTGAAACTGTTTTGAATTCACTAATTCATGGCCCATGTCAGTCTGAGGTTTTCCAACTTGCCTAAGGTGTGATATTTTTCAGGCAATTTCTGCCTTTGGGACTGCATTGTCTGTAAGTTTTGTAGCTGGCAGTGAAGTGTTTCGGGGAGGGGTCCCAGGAAGTGGTCTTATCCCTGGGCTGTGGCAGGAACTCCACATTCTGTTCCCTCCAGCACACAGAGCAGCCTTCTTTCTCTGAGGCCTCCCAGCCAGCATTCAGTAGTGAGATCTGCTAGTTCCTTGTTGAAAGGGAATTTTGATCCCAATTATGAAGATAACAATACTTTCTTTTCCTTTTTATAGATATAAGTTGTTTTTTAAAATTAAAAAAAATCACTGGATGTTCACTTAAAAATGTTTCCCAGCAGTTTATGAAATAAGTCACGTTGAGGAAGGTCATAGCGCTCCAGACAGCACCCTGATGTTTCCCATGCTTGTGCTTCATTTCCTAGTTTCCACCTGGATGGCTGAGGTTGTGTAGATGCAGCACACAGTACCCTGAGTGTGGAGCACGGGTTGCAGACCCAGTGTGGAGAGAACAGAGCCTTCAACAAGCCTGGGGCAGCCTCCAGGTAAGTAGTTTGGGCTTTTAGAAGGGCGGGGGGTGATGCATACTTCATAGTGGGCCCATCTAACGAGGATGAGTTTCCAGACACTCAGGTCACTGTCCTGAACTACCCCCACCTTGCCCACTCAAGAGCTGCAAGAGAATTTGCTGGACCTCGGAGGTCCTAGTTGCTAGTTGCCCCCTCCCCTATCCCTGTTCCATTTCCTACAAGGGCAGAAGCCCCTCTGCGGCATTCGGCAAGCACTGTGACTCCAGGAGAGAGCTAACTGCCTGACAAGGCAGCTGCCATCTTCCTTTTACTGGGCTGCTTGCTGTCAGAACTCCTTTTACACTCTCAGGGAAATCTGTCTATCTGCAGCAACCACCTGGCTTCCTAATTCTGGTCCCAGAGACTCTAGGGAATCAGCCAATCCCCTCTCACAAGACAGCCCAACTGATGTTTAGGGACAATATAATGGAGTGGCAAAGTGAAGATCTGGGGCCAGAGATAGTTCAGAGTGAATCCATTGTTGGATGTGTGACTTGGGGCAAGTTAGTTAACTTCTCTGAGATTCAGTTTCTTTATGTGAAAAAACTTGTTTGCCTCACAGAGTGGCCCTGGGAGTGAAAATAAGTCATGAAAACAAGTTGGTGAGTGCTATTCTATCACCGATTCTCTGTCACCAATTCTCTGTCAACAGCTCAATTCAATTGAACAACTGCATGTCCAAGTTAAACGGCCCACAAATTAAGTACCACTAAGTAAAGGGCAAGGTCACCAACAAGACTGCTCCCACTTTAGACACCAGACACAAGTGGGTCCTCAGACCACCTCCATTTCTGTCTGACTTGGCTTAAGTTTGGGGATTCTTACAACTCCCCTTCAGGTTCTACAATGCATTAAAATGGCCCCAAGAAGATACTAAAATTGCTGTACTTGCAGTCATAGGTTCATTATAAAAATCTAAGTCAAAAGCGGTAAATGCAAGAGTCTCATAGGCACAGTGTGGGTGGGAGTGGGGGCACACAGAGCTCCTCCGTGCCCTCTCCTCCTGGAATCTGGGTTCTTTGCTCTCCCAATCTCAGTGTGTTCACAACTCCCCAAAGCTTGAGGGTCCAGAGTTTTTGGTTTTTGGTTTTCTAAGTCAGGGCGCTTATTTTATCAAATGCACAGTTGATTAAATCTTTTGCCCTTTAATTGAACTCAGCCTGTGGCCTCTCTCCCTCCTTGGAGTGAAGCTCTAGGCTTCTAATCATGCACTTGGTCTTTCTGACCAGGTCCTCCCTTAAAACAATCTTAGGGCCCACTCTGAGTCACCTTATTAGCAGGTTAGGTTGGAAGGGGCTCATTATGAATTACAAAAGATATTTTTACTATCTTTTGGACATTGAAAGAATCCTAAGAGTTTTTAAAGCTCTGTGCGAGGAACGGGGGATAAAGACCAGTTAATTCTTTCTTTCCCATCACACCTGGCTGAACAGACACTGGTCTGGTCTTCCTCGTCCTGTGTAGCCTCTTTCTTGTCATCTCCATGTTGACATGTTCCCATTAATCAGAAAACTAGGCATTCTCATCAGTCTTTTCCTAGTTGTTCTTTTTTTAGCATAGCTCATGGCTGAATTAGTCTTTTGGACCAAACTACATAATTATAGTTATTCAGCGTGCACCTGTTTACCACTGACTCACAAGGCTCTCATTACTCAAGTTCCTAATGCTAAAATGATTCTGGCTCCTAAATGATACCTACTAGAACCAAAAGAGTTACTAGCACTTGTTAACTCTAGACCCTGCTTTAAGTACTTCACATACATTAACCCATAGTTCTTCCAGCCACCTTTTGAAGCAGTTAAATTATCACCCCTACATAATATATGAAGAAGCTGAGGAACAGTTAGGTTAACCAGCCCAACATCACACAGCTAATAATGGGCATAAGCTGAGGTTTGAACCCAAGTAGTTCTTGTTCCAGCGTCTGAGCCTCTGACCATTAAGCTATTTGTATGTAACTGGTCCTTTGCACAGCATTATGGGGAGGAAAGAAAGGATCACAAAAGAATGCCTCTGGTTCACATAGCCAGAGAGTCCACCCAGGCCCCTGTTGTCATGATGATGGAGTCAATGTCTCCCCCTTATACCATCCCCATAGGAACACCTGGGGAACAACCCTGTGAGGCTAGGATCTGAGCAGGGCAGGGGACCAGAGACACGGTAGCATGGGTTCCTCTCCCTTAGGCTCAGGACTTCTTGGTTCCTCATATTTCAGGGAGGGGTGAGCTGCTTCATGGTCGTCCTGTCCCCACTCCTGAGAAGTGAAGCCACTACACAGGGAAAGGAAGAGGTCCACCTTTTCCTGCCTGGATTGAAAGGAATGAGGCTAGGAAGGCTCGGTACCAGGATGTACTGGCCCAAACAGTCCATGTTCCAGAGAAGCTGAGAGTTTGGCAGCTGGTAGGGCTGGAGAGAACACAGGGATCTCACATCTCCATGCTCCCATCCAGTGTATTCAGTGGGGGGGTTGCTTGTTGCTATTTTAAAAATAATATCCACGGTTCAGGGCTTGGAAGTGCCAAAGAGAATTATTTGTCATGATGAGTCACAGAACTGATCAGTGGTGGGGTTGAGCGGAGTGATGCAGTGGAAGGATTTGGGTCTGGAGCTCTGTCTGCCAGGAAAATCTGGGTGGTGGCCATGCGCCTTCATGGCTGTGGTACAGCCCTCTTGTATTTGACCTTGGAGTCCTTTCTTATGTGGGGGCATGATGAGGCGAAGTATTCATGACCGACCCCAAGCTCACAAGACTAACCTGAGGCCACAGGCCATTGTCAGCTCATGTATGTTCTTTGCAGGTGTTTCTCTTTTATCACCTGGCTTGGAGATCAGGACCCAGGGGAAGCAGGGAAGTCCTTGGTCTGGAAAACCCAGATCCTTCATCCTTCTGCCTTTTCTACGTGGATCTGTCTCCAGCTTGGACAAACAATATAGTATCAGAGCTAAAAGGGAGACCAGAGATCCTTTTTGTCACTCCCTCCCTTTTTGTACTTAGTTTTGTGCTTAGGGAAATGACTTATCCAAGCTCCTGCTGATATCAAGTGACAGAACTGAGGCAAGATTTCAGGCCTCTGACTTCTTCTAGTCCAAGAAAATTCCACCAGAAATATTCCTGACAGATTTAATCGCTCTTTCTCCTTTTAGATGAATGAAAAGAGTCTGGATTTAAAGTTTCTAAGTGGCAGTTGTTGTATCAACCCACCAACTCTATTTTAAAATTTCTAGAGGATATTTTGGGGGGCCACCTCTCCCAGCAGACTCCTTCTCCCACTCCTAGTCATTTACCCCTCTCTCTTGTTGCCAAATATCTCATCAATACAACTGATAAGGAAGGTGCTAGTTGGGGGAGATTTGTTAAGGGCTTTCATAAGGAGATGATGGGTTAGTGAAATAACCAAGAGCAGAGGCTACAGTTTGCCAGCCTTGCAGAAGCAGGTCATGGTGGCCTATGGAGCCAGACCAAATGTACCATGGTAGGTGGTAGGTGGAGTGGGTCTGGACAGGTATGGGCAGTGAGATGATATGAGTATAGAAACATGTGGTTTCGTGCCATCTTTGGCTTGCTAAAAATAGCCATCACCTGGAATGGGAGTTATATTACATATTATCATGATTAGCATATAGCTTGTACTATTTCAACCCTAGTTGCTCTTTAGAATCATCCAGGGAGTTTAAAAAAAAATCCTCATGTCAAGGTCACTCTCCAGACTAATTATATTAGAATCTCTGGCATCAACAGTTTAAAGTTCCCCTGGTGATTGCAATGTGTAACCAGTGCTCTCGGCATAGATTCAGGCCATCGTTCAACCCTTAAGGTACTCTGCCCATGTGCCTTCTCTTGAACTTGCTATTCACATTTCCCCGAAAGGAAGTATGCAAACAGCAACCACAACAAGCCAGTTGGGTATTTTAGGCTGCTAGGATGGACTCTCAGTTGTCTTCTGGGCTCATCCATGGCATTAACCTCCACTCACACCACCCAGAAACTGTAAGAGTAGAAGGTAGAGCCCTGATGGAATGGAAGAAGAGATCACAGGCAGCTCAAGGACAAGGAGAATGTGGCCTATTGGTTATCATCAGGGCCTCCTTTGTAATGAGCTGCTGGGTGGAATGAAGGTTAAGGCTGAGGCACATGCGACTGCTGAAGCAAGGCTGGAGTGGGCCAGGGACCGGTCAGCCAAAGGTCCAGTGCAGATCAAGACCTGGGAGTTCAGGCACATTCTCTCAGAGCACAAGACGGCACTCCCTGTCCTCACACACTGGGAGCTCAAAAAGCAAAGGGATAGCAGAATATGGATGAGAACCTGGAGTCCCAAGCCCATTTAATATTCTCCTTATGTTCAAAATCTAATTATGGTTCATTCAAGGTTATAGCTTCTTTTGCTGGGAAGGGAATCAGCCAGCAGGCAAAGATAAAGCACAAGGTGGTGAAGGTGCATGACACAAACTTAAGGGCTAGCAGAGCTGACACATGGAAACTGGCTTAGGCAAAGCCCCACAGCCAGGAAGCCAAGGCTGAAATTGCAGCTTGATTCCTCAGAAGAGCTCCGAAATAGCAATGTGGACACTCTCTTGTTCTTCACTCATGCATTTAAACAAGCACGCACACTTGAGTAGAAAAAAGATGTGGCTTGATGGTCTTCACTGCAGAGCCTGGGCCTCATTATGTGGGACTCTGGGCACCTGGCCACATTTCTCTCTTCAGAAAGTATTTCTTCTTTGTTTCTCAGTAGACATTTAGTGGTACTTGGGAAAAATACATTTTTTGGTAATACAAATTGCATAGCTCTTTTTAAACTTGGTAAGACTTTGCTTCTGCATTAAGCCATATTTAACAAAAAAAGATTCACCAATGGTTTCTTTCCAGGGGCCAGAGCACTGAGCAAAGTGTTTCCCAAGTCTTAGTAGAGGTGCTTGTTTGTGACTTTCCCCACCATATTTTTGAACATGCTTACAAGAGGGTTTACATTATATATATTTACACTTACGTAGCCATGCTGGGAATATAACCCAGGGCCTTGGGCATGCTAAGAAAGTGACTCCACCAGCCACCTAGATGAAATACGGATTCCCACTAAATAGCTTCCGATATGTAAGCATGAATCTCAGAAATGCTCAAAAAGTGTTGCATATCATGCTTCCAATGGGAAACTCTCCACTTCAAGCCCAGTGTGACTAGGTAACCCTGACTCGTATTTTCATTCGGCCTGATTATCACAGCGCCCCTGTCGGTCGATATGGGGGCCGCGTTCAGCTGCTGGCACCCTAGCCACGGCTCTGCTGACACACCCTGCTGGAATAGCCGCAGCTCGGGGGCCGGGCGGCGGAGGGATCCAACCCACCCAACCTTTGGCCTTAGGAAGCGCGTGCACACCTTCGAGAACCAACCTGCCGCCCACGCTGTCCTTCCCCTGCAGGGTTCCAGGAGCTGATCGTAGCCCCAGCAGGAGAATGAGTGAAGAGACGGTCCCCGATGCCGCCTCCCCACAACCCCCCCAGGGGCAGCCCTATTTTGACCGCTTCTCTGAGGAGGATCCGGAGTACCTGCGCCTTCGCAACCGGGCGGCCGACCTGCGGCAGGACTTCAACCTGATGGAGCAGAAGAAGCGCGTCACCATGATTCTTCAGAGCCCGGTGAGTGGGTCTGATCCAGCTGAAGGGCCCGGGACAGGCGAAGGAGGAGGGAGCGGAGGAGCGAGGGGCGGGCTTCTCCCCGGACTGGAAGACCTGCTGCTCCTCTTCTCAGGGTCGGAGCAATTTAGGCCCACAGAGCAACACTGGACTGCCACGTGGTGTCTCTCCTCCTGTTCACTAGCGGAGGGCGAAAGTTGGGTGTATGCAGACAGCTTGGCTCAGAAAAAGGGAGAGGGACAGGAAACCCTTTACCCCTCAGATTCTCAGCTTCTAGTCTTCTTTCCTTCGTCACAGCATAGGGCACCATGGAAAAGTCTTGGGGGCTCCCTTTACTGAGCATCACGATGTAAGAACTCACTGTGGCTGGCACAAACAAGGCCTGAATGCATGGGGCAGGGGAAGGAGGGCCTGGAAGGTCCAGGAGGTGGGGAGAGTGGAGAACTCAACAGGGCAGAGATTATGGAACAGGAGTGGAGGAAGCGAGGCCAAGTTGGGGTCACCCAGCCCTCTCCAGACTTAAGGTCGGTGGCGCCTGCCTAGCATGGTCGCCTACCGCACTCTCCAGGCAGGTAAATGGTCAGGCCTCTCGGAGGAGCACAGAGGGAGTGAGCGTGAGTTCTTGGTGGCATTGTGTGGGCAGCCTAGAAGCAAATAGCAGGTCCTAAAAGCTTTGGGGTGAGGAGTCCTTGGGAAGATCCCCAGAGTGTGACTGAAAAGGTGGAAGGATTAGACAGCACCAGCCTAGGTTTCAGGGCCCCAGGCAGGCCGTGGTGACTGCAGGAATCCTGCTTCTGTCCTTTTTATAGGATTAAATAGCTCCCTAATTCCTTCAGGTGTTTCCTGCTGCCATCTGGTGGGCAAGATGCCCAGTTTATGCCCTGGTGCTCTGCAAAAGCTAGGCTCAGATAGGGGCATTAGAAGTGGAAGTCACCTCAGCGGTCATTAAATCCTTCTGCCCCTCCTACTACTGCTTTATTTAGCACCCGAGGAAATGGAGGCCCAGAAGAGCCATAGGCATGCTAATGGAGAGGGAAGGTGGCATGCTTTCTCATTCAGCTCTGCTTTTTAAAAATGCCCTTAATTATTAAAGTGAAGTCCTGCCAAGACTGATGGGGTGGGGATGGAGGTATGTCTTGGCCTTCATGTGGATACAGGAAGGACCTGGAATCTAGATTATTACTCACAGGGCAAAGGAAATATAGGTTCCATTCCCAGCATCACCTCTTTGCTCCCCACACAGCAATCTGGCGAAGCTCCTGAGGTCCTAAGCAAGGTGCCTCTGGGGCCCAGGAATCCCAAGAATGGCCTGGCCTAGTTGACCCAGGGATGGGAGTGGGCACTTGGAAGAGCTCATCATCCAGCAGCTGTGGGTCCCTCAGTTTCCTGTGTGAGATGCTCTGGGGGGATCAGCACCTCTGGGCCTGCTTCAGTCTTTCAGGGAGGAGCTGGAAGGCCTTATCCAGGAGCAGATGAAGAAAGGAAACAACTCCTCCAACATCTGGGCCTTGCGGCAGATTGCGGACTTCATGGCCAGCACCTCCCACGCAGTCTTCCCAACATCTTCCATGAGTAAGTGGGTGTCTGGGAGCTGCCAAGAACTGAGGAGGAGGGGTGGGGTGAGGAGGAGAGGAAGGAGCAGCAAGAAGATGGTTGCCAGGCAACAGTACAAGCCTGCAGTTTCATTAGCAGGCCCCGGGGAACTCAGCAGAAGCCAGGGAGGTGCCTGGCTCTGCTTTTGATGTTGCTGCAAATTAGAGACCCACAAAATCATTATCCATGATGCCAGGAATGGGAGGGGTAGAGGTGACTTCAGGAGATGAAAAGAGGCCATTGAAACTAGTGTCTCCATGTTCCACTAGACAAGCCAGCCTGGCTTCATAGATGAGTACCAGGAAGATCCAGGGCCGTGCATGAATCTACTTTTTTAGGCTGTAAAGCTCTGCTCACAACAGATGCTTTTAAAAAAACATTAAAAAAACTGTCCCTCAACGTGATTGATATAGGATGATGGTTGAAAACTAGGAAAATAATCAGGAAAAGGAAGCAAAAATCATTGCCCTGTCTTTGTAAAACCAGAAATTATTATTATCAATATTTTGGTGTATATCCTGTCAACCTTTTTCTCTTAAGGTATACAGATTATAAGGAAACAATATAATCACATTATACATAATTTTAATAACATATATTAGCTAATTTCTCACCTAATAGAAAATGATTCAGCAATTTAATTTTTACTTAATTGATTATATTTAATCAATTTCTCATTATTGGACTTTTAGGTTGTTTTTAGCTTTTTGCTATTATGAACAATGCAGTAAATATCCTATTAAGTAAATCTATGACTTTATCCAGGGCTGTTTTCTTAAGATAAATTACAAAGAGTAGAACTGCTGGATCATATTTAAAAGACTATTATGCACAATGGCAGATTACATTCTTTCTCTATCCTAGAGAAAGATGGAATCAGTTTATGTTCCCAGCATTCTGATAGAGTACCCATTCCTCTACCCTGATCTGTAGTTTTTATCCTCCTCACTTGCCAGGTTATAAATGCAGGGTTTTTAAAAAACTTTTTTTGTTTTTATTTTTTATTAGTTATTTGTGCTTTAATGTGCATTTATTGTATTACTAATGAGATTGGATATACACATGCTTATATACGTATTAGACATGATTTTCTTTTGTAGTAAATTGTATTCACATCCTTTGTCAATTTTCCTGTTACTATATCTTTTCATATGGATTTTCAATTCTTTATACAAATTAATACTGTTTCCCTATTATATTTCCATTATGTTGTAATTATTTTTCTAATTTTTCCTTTGTTTGATTTTGTCATGGTGTGCTTTTTTTTTTTCCTTTTCACCTTGTAGAATCTTTCATTTCTATGTAGTTGAATCTATTATTTTTTTGTGTAGGTTCTGCTTTTGACTGCATGCTCAGAGGCATCTTCCTCATGTTTCATTATCTGATTGGACAAATACATTCGTTTGTCAATTTTTCTGAAATGTTTTTACAAGCTTATACTTTAGAATAATTTTAGAATTATTTGTCAAACTCTGCTTGCATCTACCTAGCACATTCCTGTTGGGAGTTTGATGGGGATTGCATTAAATGAAGAGAATGATTTAGTGGAGAATGTATAGATTATAATCATATTAGATTATAAGCTCCATGGGGGAAATTTATATGTGAGAATACTATTTCCTATAATAGTGTCCTGGACTTAGAATAGTGTCTAACATATAGAAAGTCATTTAAAAATATTTGCATGAATGAATTTTAAATATTTTCAGAAATGAGGGATGTTTAAGTATTCTTTGATGCCCCTTACAAAAGGCTGATAGTTGTGTTCTGGGTTTTTTTGGTGGTACTTGGAATTGAACTCAGGATCTTGTGCTTGCAAGGCTGGCAGAGTGCCATTGAGCTAAATCCCTGCCCTCTATTAGTTGATAGTTATTTTTATGTAGTCATTACTGCCTTAAGTTTATCTAGAAAACCTTATGTAACTTTGTTATTTTAAATAAGTGTGTTTCCATTCAGTTTTCTTTCTGGATTTACATATAAATTTATATAAATTCTCTTGGATTTTTATATATAGAAAATCATACAATCTGTAAATAATGGTAATTTTGCCTGCATCATTCCAACATTTGCCTTTTGATTTTTTGCAGTTTTCTCATTTCATCCGTTAGTACTTTCAGAACAATGTTTAATAATATATTAGACAGTAATCATCCCTGTCTTGTTTCTGACTTTAATGGAAATTCTTTTACCACAGAGTTTGAGATAATTATTTTTTATCATGTTGAGGAAATATCTTTTTTATTGTAGCTCATTATAGGTCTTTCTTGAAAATGGCTTTTAAATGTTATAAAATGCATTTTGGGCATTATTGATTTTTCTTTCCTTGAACAATTGCTTTAATAAGTTAGAGTAATAGAACTCTGAACATTGAACTCTTTTTTTTTGTGTGTGTGTGTGCTACCGGGGATCGAACTCGGGTCCTTGCGCTTACGAGGCAGGCCACCGAACCACTGAGCTAAATCCCCAGCCCTTTGAACTCTTTTTTTTTGTGTGTGTGTGTGCTACCGGGGATCGAACTCGGGTCCTTGCGCTTACGAGGCAGGCCACCGAACCACTGAGCTAAATCCCCAGCCCTTTGAACTCTTTTTTTCCTGTCTGAAACAAATAATTTCTGGTCTTGACACATTCTTTTAAAGATGCTCTTCTAGATTCGATTTGCTGGAATATTAATATGGATTTTGAAGTCCATGTTCACCCTTGAGGTTGGTCAGTAGTTCAGTTTTAGGGTAGTCTTCATCTAGTACTGCTATTAAGGCTATAATTTCATAATATGGATTAGGGTAATCCCACCTTCCTTTTTGCCCTCATGGAGTTTAAGGTAGGAAGTTCCTTTCTTGAAGATTTATTACTCACATGCAAAACTGTCTTGATCTGGAGCATTATTAGAGATCTTTGACATTTTCTCTATAGTTTCATTTAGAGTCTTTTTTAAAACTTATTTTTTTGCTTCTTCAGTCAATTTTGCTCATATGAAATAATTCATTTATTTTTCATATTTGTTAAAGTGATTTACTATGTTTTCTTCACTTAAATTTTGTTCTGTGGATGAGATGAGGTCCTATTCTTATTCCTGCTCCTGTATATTTCCTTTTCTCTGTACTGATGTTTTCATATGTTTGTTTATTCAGAGATAATCTCATATATGCTAATTCTTGGGTTTACTTATTATATTATTTTTCCTGATTTCTAATTTGTTAATTTTGTGTTTTTAATTGATTATTTTCCATAACTTTTCTTTGGTTTGCTATTTTCTTTATATTTTTCTAGATTAGAATAAATTAAATTTTATTTATTTTCATATTTAATTCAATGATAAAGACATTTAAGGCTCTGCATATTTTTCCGAGTATAGGTTTGGAATGCCACTGAGTTACACCCCAAGCCTACTTTATTTTTATTTCTAAAGACCTGCCAGGGAGTGTATTCTCTCACTTCTGTGTGGTTGAAAGGATTTGTTAATAATATCAGACTTTATTGCATTGTGTTTAGAAAACACGTCCTATTTGATTTCTGTTCAAGGGATTTTTTTAGGTCTGTTTGGGGCCAATAATATTATCTTTAAATTATATATGGTTATTGACAATCTCTAGGGCATACTATTTAATCTGTTATTTCCATTTTTATTTGATGTTTTCAAAAATGAAAGTTATGATGTCTTCCACTGTGTTTTCCTTCTGTTCACTTCTCTTTGTATGATGATTTTTGCTTTACATATCTTGATGAAGTATTATCCAAAGCATAAATGTTCATTATAGCTCTAATTTTATTATAGATTGTACTTTTAATCCATATAAAATGACTTTCAAAAGTGGCTTTTTTGTCCAAAGGAATATTATTTTGCCCAATTCTACTTTGATAATAATATTATACTTTAAAATTATTTCCTTTAGTTTGTCTGGTGTACTTTTGATCTTTCTTTTGTTTTTTTACCTGTTTTGTGGTACTTCAGTGGTTTCTGCTTTCTTTGGCTGTAACAGAGAAATCTGAGACAAGCTATTTTTGTTCCTTTGTTGGTGACCAAATTTTTTTCTAGAGGCCTGTAGATTTTTCTCTTAACCTTATATTTCAGAAATGTTGCTCAGAAGTGTATAATTTTTATGGACTTCCTTTGCCCTAAAATGTAATAAGTCCTTCAAATTTGTATACACTGGTCTTTATTTCGCTTCAGACGATTTTTATTCTATTATGTCAATACTGATTATCTCTGTGCTGGCTCTCTGGGTTTTGCCTCCAATATCCCTCATATTCTCTGTCATTGTTTTCATGTTTCTATCCTTGTACTCTCTTGATGGACACATAGGGCTAACCAGCATTCTCACTGCTTCGCTGATCAGCATCTGCCAGGGAAGGTGATGAGTGCCTAAAAACCAGTCTAGTGAGTACATGTCCGCAGCATCCGAAGGTGAGGGATGTGGAGAAGGGAAGTTCCCAGCATCATTCAAGCCCAGATTGAGTATTCTGTCTAGGTCCATTTGCCTTAGAATTTGAGGATGAGGAGAGGGCGTGTTGGCATGAGGGTACCCTTCAATATTAGCTTAAGGATAGTTCATTAAATTTTCATCTTTTTCTGTGTTTTCCTAGGTACACTGAATAAATAGCCTAGTTAGAGCCTCTTCCCATGCATGGCATTCAGCCACCCTAACTTTGATGAAGCTGGCCAGAATAACTATTTTTTTATATTAAGATCCTAAGAGTGGAGAACTGGAAATTGCTATAGAATTCCCCTGTTCTTGTCTGTTGCCCCTAAGTCCTGTGGGTAAGGTAACTCTTACAGTTGAAGCTCTCCATAGGACAGGGCAGGGGGACACTCTTTGAGACCGACAGGGAAGTTGTAATGGAGTAAATATGTTCAGAACTGTTCTGGCCTCTTGGCCATCTCTGGAGCCCCAGAGTTACTTATAAAAGATGAATTCAAAGAACTCTGAGCCTGAAGACCCTCCCAACACCAGCTTCACCTGCCTGACCTTTCCTAGGGCTAGTACTTTTGATATGCCTTCCCCTCCCTTTTTGCTACATTTCCCTGACAGGGGGTGTCCAGGACATGCTTTGTGCTTGCTGGATATGGCCCAGCATCGTGTGATCACCCTCACATTTTCAGACCGTCTCATCATTTCAACGAACAGCAAATCTGATGCAGGACACGCATCATGTTGTACAGCAGAGAGGTTTACAGAGATGGCAAACACTTCCAAAGAACCTTTTAATCCGTTAAAGTTTTTAGTGGGGAGCTGAGAGAGGCAGCATCAGGAGGCTCTCAGCCAGATATAGTTTTAAGCTAGAATCCTTTCTTATTGATTTTTTTTATCGGTTCATAGACATTGAATAATCTGAACGTGGGTGTGGGGTGGTCTCAAACGCCTTCTTCTCCTTTCTCAAGGCCTGGTCATTATGTTAATGGAAAGGACAGGGCATGTTGATGAAATGGACAGGACAGGACCTAGACTTTTTGGGTGTCCTGAGGATAAGACTATCAAAAGTTGTAGGCCTATTTCCAAGTTCCTTCCACCTTCTTTAAAAAGAACCATCACACAACCAAGGGACTGCATGCCCAAGGAGGAGCAGATTACCCTGCTAGAAGCCTCAGGACCTTCACCCAACCCTGACTGCAGGAGTTTATGATTCCTTAAAATAAACTGAAGAGAAGTTGACAGATGTACTTCTTTGCTGACTTGCCTGTTCATTTGCCCTCTTTCCAAATCATAGAAAAATTTTATTGCATGGAATGGTTAAAAAACCTGATAATGGCTGGTCTCATGATCAGTAACTTCCTTAATAGAACTAACTGATGAAATATACCTGTATTTCCACTCAGAAATTTATTATTTCTTTCATTCAATACCCATCTCTAGGTCTTATGGTAATCTTAGCATTCCAAGAACCCTTCATTCTGAGAACTTGGGTCTTGCCATGATTTTTGACCAAAAGCGATGCTGTGCTTACTTAAATTAGCAGAGGACTTTATTGAGCACACATATCTATTCTATGGACTTTCTTCACTGGGTAGGGGAGAAAAAGTATTGAATTCCCTGCCCAGCAATGCTTCTTGTGCAGTTATAGTGCCAATGAGACTTTGGAGAGTCTTAGAGCAAGGAAGGGGGGGCGTGGTTGGTGCCTATGGAAGCTCCTGACCCTGAGTGAGCAGCGCTGTCCCTGGTGTTGTCCTCGACAGACTTCTCCATAATGACACCGATCAATGACCTCCACACCACTGACTCCCTGAACCTGGCCAAAGGGGAGCGGCTCATGCGGTGCAAGATCAGCAGTGTCTACAGACTTCTGGACCTCTACGGCTGGGCCCAGTTGAGCGATACCTACGTCACGGTGAGGAGAGCACTAAATCCAGAGGGAGAACTCCTGACCCTTGGTATGGCCGTGGCACTGTTGGTAGCCTTTGGCCGAAATGCTCTGAACTCTCAAAACTCCGCCTAGTGGGATCTTCTTTGGATGGGGAGCAGAAATTTCTGGATCCTTTATCTGGGGCTTTTCTTGAAGATTTCAAGATTCCTCTTGTAGCTCCATTTCCCCAGCTCCAAATAAAGGTCAAGTCCTCTTCATCTCTTAATGTAGGGAGAGAGAAGGGTTCATTGGAGAAAGATTTGGGCACAGTAAATTCAAGGGAAGAAAAGATTCAAATCCCGTGTCCTTGAAAATGCTCCCTCTCCCTATTTGTGCCTGAGAATGTGTGTCTTTTCTCCAGTTGAGAGTCAGCAAGGAGCAGGACCACTTCCTGATTAGCCCTAAGGGAGTTTCCTGCAGTGAAGTCACTGCATCCAGCCTGGTGAGTATTACCTGCTAGCTCACTGCCCACTCCTTAATGAGATAGCAGAACTTACTCTGCTCCTGCAGTGACAGGTTGTCTCAGAATTAGCCACTGTTGTCCTGTCCCTTGTGCTGTTCACAATCTAGTGGGGCAGAGAAGACACTTGGAACAAACTCAGCTCCCAGAAAACAGTGTGACCAGAAGATCAAATGCAAGATGCAGGCAGCAAGCACAGCAGAAGGGAGTGGGGAGAGCAGATAAGCTCAGATGGCTAAGCCTGGGACTATACCATGAAGGAGGGAGTTGAGACCCTCTTGGATGGGCAATACATGAGAACAAGAACCAAAGCACTGCAAGATTTGTCTGGTACTGGACATTAGAGATTGCTTCTGGGTCCCTCTCAGTGCTGCTTCTTTAGGTGGGGTAGGAGGAGACTTCTAGAAGGTGGTGTAGATCAGAAAAGATTTCAGGGTGAGAGGGGAAAGATAGCAGAAAGAACCATCTTAGAAGCAGAAGGGCCCAGTCCTCCTCAGGTGCACAGACTGGCTGCTGTGCTGTGTCATGCACCTGAAAGAGGAGGACACCAGCCTAGGGGCTGTTGCCAGGCTGGGGATGTGTTCAAGTATAGAGTCCAAGGACTCAAGTCCAGAGTCCAAGATGACAGAGCTACAGGGCAGGACTTCAAGGATGGCAAAGCCACTTAATGGGAAAGAAAGGATACTAGTGTCCAGAGAAAGTAAGTGACAAAGGGAGTACTACAACATTTTTTACTTTTTTCTGCTGGCCATATAGCCACTGAAGTATTATAAGCAGGAGAATGAGGAGATCACATTACCATTGTGTAAAGATCACTCTTTCAGGGGTGTGGATGCCAAATGTATCAGGACAACTGTTTAGTGCATTTATACAGAGCTGAGAAAAAAATTGGTCCTGCATGTTCACTAGGCCTGGTGATCAAGTCGGTCAGTAATTGGGATTGAGGTTAAGGACCTGGTTGGACATTCAGGAGGAAGTTAGTTGAATATGTGGTTTGGAAGTTTGGAGGAGATGTGGTTTCAAAATACAGGTCTGAGAGTCATGGCATGAGATGCTCAGAAAATGTGTATTGACTGAGTTCTGCTGTATATGGATTTATGGCTGTGACTGTTCAGAAGAGCCTGGCTGATGAGAAAGAGAGAAGAGGGTAAAATCCAACCTGCACTCCATTCGCTAAGTACTGTATGTTCTGGAGCCTGTTTCCCCCCGCCCCCAAATTTTCAGTGACAACATTCTGTGTCCCCAGGTCTGTCCTCAGAGAAAATACTTATTTTCTTATTGTACAAAGGTGCCATATGGGTTGGTGGTATTCTGTTAGGCTGTAAAGATTCTTAAGTGATGACAGATCACATATCCAAGGATGAGATAAGGAATACATGACATTAGAGAGGGATCATCCCAGAGAGGAAATTCTGACAGGACACATGTCTGAGGAAGTAGGGAGCTGAGCTAAAGGGAAACCAAAGGCCACCATCGGACACTCAGGTGCTCGAGGCAGGAGAACTGCTGCCAGTATCAGGGGTCAGGTCACTATGAAGTCATGTTCATTTTGTAAAATTCATTTACAATAGAATTGCTCAAGAGGGAATTTGTTTTACATTTTACTGATGCTCCTGGATAAGCACCTGATATAAGTAGCATGTCCCTGACCCCACACAGGAATTACTTCCTTCCTTTGGTCCCCATCTTGTTTGTTAGGGCCTTCTGGGATGGACAGAGGTAGACAAGATATGGAATTGCTCTGTGTGCTAGATTCAGGATATTATGGGTTCTTCAGTTTTCAGAGCCAAACTTTCAGTAGAACTTTTTAGAAACTATAATCAAGCTTAGTAATGTCCAGAGAACAACCATAGTCTGTGAGTGAGATTAGGTTCAGGGAAATTGTACATGGGGAATGAGGGCATGTGTTTAGTAGAATGTCAGGAGGACTTTGTTTGGGGAATTGTTTTTATGTTAGCTGATTTGGGTCTCAAAGGAGGCATGGCTGTGGAGTTTGCTGTTAGAATGCAGTAATCATTCTAAGATTGTGTATTTTACCAGTTTCTATCCAGGAGGCAGTGACATGGAGTGAGGCTTTAGCTGTCACTGGTAAAGCAGGAACACTCCCTCCTGTTAGCCAGAAGAGGGGGCTGTTGTTCATTTCTGTGCTTGTGCAACGATGTCTTCCTGTATCACAGTCATAGTAACCTTCTCTGATGTTGTTCTATGAAATTGTTTATGTTAGGTAGGAATTTTGCTCTATTTCTTGTTCTCTCTTGCGCACACGTGCACACACATACTTACGTAAGTGTATGTTTTGTTTTGTTTTTTAAGTTATGACACTTACTGGCTCTTGGAGTCAGAAGCAGATTACAAAGCCGTGCTCTCTTTCCACTTGTCCTTTATGACCTAGCTCCTGGGTGATTGGTAAATGGGTGTTCAGGATACTGTTCTCTGTGTATGATTTATAAGTTTTCAAAGAAATGAAAAAGCTCAATTTACACACGACTCCCTTTGGGAAGGCTTCTGATCCTCTAGTCTGCTGGGTTAAAGACGCCCCCCGCCCCGCGCGCGCGCTTCTGGAGAACTCTGTGAATGACTCCTCTAGTTCCTTGCTCCTCAAAGTGGATCCCAGCACGGGTATCAATTGGGAGTGACTAGAAATTCAGACTCTCCTGTGAGTCGGTATCGGCATTGACGGGATCTCCAGGGGATTCTTGAGTGCAGTGAGCTTTGAGAAACTCTGCTGTAGCATTTTCCCTACTGCACTATAATCACCTGTGACCTTTAAGACTACACTCGCTGAGGGCAGGACGCACGTCCGCGTCGCCTAAACCGAGCCTAGCCATTGCTCCTGGGGTCTGGACATGGGTAGTGAGTGCTGGGCCCACCCACCCAAAGAGGAGCGAGGGTCCCTGCCTGCCCTGTTGCTCCAAGTCTCCCCTTTTCCTCGGTCCAGATCAAGGTGAACATCCTGGGCGAGGTGGTGGAGAAGGGCAGCAGCTGCTTTCCGGTGGACACCGCGGGCTTCCGTCTGCACTCGGCCATCTACGCAGCCAGGCCCGACGTGAGGTGCATCATTCACCTGCACACACCAGCCACGGCAGCGGTGAGTGGGCTCCCTGCTGGCCCCACCAATGCTCCTAGTACAGCAGGCAGACCCAGGGGCCCCATCTCTCTAAGATGCTCCCCAGTACCATTCTCACTGAAAACAGTCTGGAAAGATCCAGAACCCAGACCAAGGTGAGGAGAGAAAATTCCTAACGTAGGAACTCCTCATCTTCTTTCTAAATGCCACAGTCTCGAGAGAGGGTAAGATGTCAGACATCCATCCCACTGCGTCCTCCACCCTGCCACACACACAGGCTGGGACACCTACCCAGAGGACTGTGCCTTATGAGTTTCTACTCAGGTTGAATCTTTTGGGCTGGGGGTTTTACCTGCCTCTGCATAGCCCAGTCTCTGGGAGGAGAAATATATATATATATATATATATTTTTAGTCAGGTTCTTGCTATGTAGTCCAGGCTGGCCTTAAACTCATGGTGATCCTCCTGCCTCAGCCTCCTGAGTGCTGAGTGCACCACCATGCCCAGCCTGGGAGGAGAAATTTTGACAGAGGTTATCAGGCAGGCAGAAAACTGGATGGTCTCAACTTTCTATAGCTTAGAGTAGCTGAGAGCTGGGGACAGGAGCATGCAAAACTAGGGGAAGGTGGAAGGGAGAAGCTCAAGAAGCAGTTTATCCCCCAAGGGTCTCTGGTCATTTCTTCATGTGCACCTAGGATACTGTGCAGTAGACAGCAGACAAGTTCAGCCATTGCTCAACACTCCCCCATCCTCCTGTTCCCCAGACCACACACCTGCAGAGCAGACTTCTGACCAGGCTGTTTTCTCAGTGATGCACGGCAGTTGTAAGCGCTCAGAACTTACAGGATTTGGATTAACTTGATGATGTGTTTGTGCTGAGCAGGGTCTCTGCAGGCTCACGGGCACAATGAGGGAAGGAGGGTAAGGCCCCTGATAAGCCTTCCCATGCTCCTTGCTTTAATGAGGTGGGGTTGAGGGTTACAGCCTTGTTCCCTGGCCAGTATACTTCCCTAGGGCTATAAGGTGGAGTTTCCTAGTGGTCTTCTCTATTAGCAAGGAGACATGGTTATTTCTACACTAAAACCAAGGCTGAGGGTCCCCAGTGACTCATCCCAAGCCTGGTACAAACTGCTCACCCAAGCCTGCTGCAAACAACACCACACCTGGCTCTCTGAGAGTCACAGATAAGAGCAAAGCAGGAGCAGGACCGCACTGGCTTCCTTCAGTACATTCACTCCAGTGTTTCTAACAGCTGGTTCCCTTGTATGAAAACTGATAGAGACATTAGAGCCCAAAGCATGAAAGCAGGACTGAGCAGGTAGAAAAGGAGGCTGAGGCTTTTCTCATCTTCTTCCAACTCCATGGACCTCAGTGCAGAGCTGGCCTGTGGTGCTCCCAGGAAGGGCAGATGTGCCGAGGAGATGGAGGCTGCAGGTGCCACCCATCCCACTGTCTCCCTACAGGTGTCAGCCATGAAGTGGGGTCTCCTGCCTGTCTCCCACAATGCCCTGCTGGTGGGGGACATGGCCTATTACGACTTCAATGGGGAAATGGAGCAGGAAGCCGATCGTGTCAATCTGCAGAAGTGCCTTGGACCCACTTGCAAGGTTTGGGCAGCCCTTCTGGGAGGATGCTCTGGAGTGGTACTGTCGAAAGCCGGTGTCACAAAAGTGACGTATATTCTTTGGAGAATGTTTAACTGTTGCAGATAAATTTTAAAAAAAAAGAAAGAAAAGGAAAAATCTCTGTCATACTACTCAGAAATCTTGGTACACACCCCTAGTGAGTTCACATGTAATTTACATAACTGAGATCATAAAATAAGCCCTTCCATTCCCTTAGCAATATATAGTAGTCACCATTGTATGTCATTAAATATTTTTGTCACTATTTTAAATTATTGAATTATATGAGACTATCACCATTTTCCTGAATAGACCTCTATGTGCAGACATTGCAGGTGCTCCTGCCCCTGAATTTTCTCTTAGTATAAACTACGCTGATAAAAACCCTTTCAACCAAGTCTGCCGGGTGCCTGAGGTGATTTCCTTAGAACAGATTTCTTTGTTCCCTCTCACCCCCATGTCTGATATAGATAATGCTATTTTCCTGCTGTCTCCCCAAACTTGAGTTTTATCACACTTATTCATTTATTTATTGCCAACTTGCTGGAGAAAATGGGACTTTATTATTGCTTGGTGTAAGTCTAGGCCTTGTAACAGCACATGTATTGGGGTGGTCAGCTTGGTATAGGGAAGCTCTAAAACCAAGCCTGAGTGGGTCACTTGCTGCCATCCTACACTCACTGCCCAACTCGCTTTCTGTCTGAGTCCCTCTCTCCCCAGCTCTAACTCAAGTGAGAGGCCCTGCCAATCTCCCATCATCCTCCAAAGTGTCATTAGCGATGCTGGGAGAGAAATGTGGTGCCCACATCTATTGAGTGCTAGAAGAAGGGTTGTTTGTTGTTTCTGGGTCAGAGTCACTGTCTCTTTCCATTTCCCTGGTTCTTGAAAGGAAAAACCTCCAGCTGTTTGTAGCGAGAGAGGACATGGGGTTCAGAGCTGTAAGGTCTCAGTCTAGGTAGGCTGTGCAAGGACAGGTCTGACACATGCATCTGTATTTTAGATCCCATAGGGGCATCATCTGGTTCCAGAGAGTTCTTGAATCTAAAACCAACAGAGGAAAGTTTTCAGTAAGGGATGTTTAGCCTTTGGGAGTTGAGCTATTGGTATGAATTCATTTAGATCTCCTTCCCCCACTTTATCCACCTGGCCCCTGCAAGGTCAGAAACATTGCACCAGTGGTGAGAAGTGCTGGATTCCAGTTTAGATTTTGCCTTCAGTTAGTCAGGGTAGGCCTCTGATTAGATTTCTATTTCCTAATCTATAAGAGCAGTTAGATTAGAAGGCCATGATAGCCTCCTTCCTAGAACCATGTGATCTTAAACCTGGTAGGGCCTCTCCGAGTTTATGGAGGAAAAACTGGAGATCAAGAGGTGATGTGATGCACCTGTTTCTGGAGAACCATTTCTCAGAGAACCACCCTCTTGAGTTTTGACCACAAAATTAGTAAAGCTACAGAGGCAAGAGCTTGCTTGAGCTTTGACCCTTGCATTAGCCATCAAATAATATCATTCACACAAATTTTTCAGAATTAGAAGTTCTCCAAGGCCTAAAAACCCAGTCATTGCCCAAAGAAATCAATCGGGCTATATGGTCTCAGTTTTTAAAAGCCTCTTCAGTTTATTAGGGTAGAAGCCTTGGGTTAATATCATATGTCAAATACATTGGGGTATTTGATTAGGAATGAGCAAAGGCTTGGAGAAGGGGCTTGAGATGGAAATTGATCTAAATAAAATGAAAAGTATCTCTCTTAAGTGCTTTTTACAGGCTTGAGGTTTATTTGGCTGTTTCCTCCTCCCCAGATCCTGGTGCTAAGAAACCATGGAGTGGTTGCTCTAGGTGACACAGTAGAGGAGGCATTTTACAAGGTCTTCCACCTGCAGGCTGCGTGTGAGATTCAGGTGAGCAAGCCCTCTGGGAATTGGACCTAGGAGTTGGCCCTGATGAAGTCTGTGGGTGACAGTGCTGGCCTTACTAGTTGTGAGTCAGAGACACCTTTGAGCCCTATCTTCTAAAATTCTTGCCCTATATCTCTACCTTGGGGTCACTTCTGGAATTTCACATTTAAAGTCAGTTCCATGGCTTGGAAAAATTTATCACCATTTTCTGAAGACCCTCACCCAAGTCTTGGCGGTCAGAGCCCAGAACAGTGAGTTACTTGGGCTCATCAGCTCGACAGGGGAGAGACTGCCATAGGACACATATAGTCCTAACCATGCTCATATGTTACCTGGGTATGCCTGCCACACCTAGCTGTGCGAAGTGGACACACACAGCTAGGCTTTATTTATTTATTTGTAACAGATTGGAATGAGTAGAGGTAGTGGTTTTGCAAAAGTCAACAACATTGTTAAATCTGAAAAGAGAAGTGGAGAGCTGGCCATTTGGAGTGGTGGCATGGGAACCTGAGCGGCTAGGCAATCCTAAGGTGATGTCCGGAGAGCTCATCATGTAGCCCTCACTGGATCAGCCACACACACACTCAACGGTGTGGCCAGTTGGTTGGGGTGAAGAGGGGCCTTGGCCAGCCCTAGAAGACCTGTTCCCAGGCTGCCTGGGCATCGTCATCACCAGCTCCAGCTGTGTGTCCTTGGGTAGGGAATTTGCTCTTTGAAATCCAGTTTTTCTCAACTGTAGACGTGGGGTGCAGAGGGTTACTGTGAGGACCGGGCTTTTCAGACAAAGAGATATGTCATGGGTGGTATTTTTAGGATTCAGTTCACAGCAGAAGAAACCCATTGCTTCAGGATACCTCAGCTCTTTGCTGGGCCCTTTTGGTGGGTGTCTATCTGGCCCTTCTGGCTAGCCTGGCAGAATAGCACCCTCTGAAAGCCCACCTGCTGCTCTCTTGGCCTTCTACGGGAAGAATGGTAGAGGCTGGTGCCTCACTGGTAGAGGCTCCCAAGGGTGTGCTTTCAACAGTTTTTAGAGGACTGTGTTGCAAAGACAGTTTGTGGAGGTGTTGGAGGAAATGAAGTGAGACCAACCCCCAACCCCCAGCAGCCATGGGGAGAAGGGGAGACCACGGACAGGCAGGTACAGGCAGACACAAGCAGTGTCTCTTTGATGTGGCTCCCTTCCCTCAACCAAGGATGCTGTCCTAACCACTGGCCACTGATTGGTGGCAGAACCCCATAGAGCCTCTGCTATAAAGACAGCCACCTTCCCTGCCCGACCTGCACTGCTCCAGGTGCCCTGTCTTGCCTCTGGAGAAGAGGCTCTCCTGAGCAACTAGCTCACAGAGAAACCTCATCTCATCTCAAAGACAGCCCAGCCCTAAAAATGAATGGGGAGGCCAGTGTGCCCCCACACAGTGAAGCCACTCCCAGACTCCTGACCCCAGCAGTGGCCTTTGGGCAATTTAACCAAAACCGGAATGGCCATCTGCAATCACTGACCCTGACAACCTCCAGCTGCTGTCACTTGCTCTTCAGGATGGGTCTGATGTGACCTTGTTAAAGTACCTCAGACAGTGCAGTCATCTAGCCCCCAGTAAAGCTCCAATGTGTTTTCTTTCAGCTGGAGGGAGAGAGGCTTCTGGAGGGAGGAATAGAAGACTAGACCAGAAGGTGGTGGATCAGGACATGAAGAGCACATGTAGCAACAAGCTGCAGGTGCTATTGGGTCACACCTGGGTCATTTTGGATGGAGTGACCATCACTGAAGCTCTGCCTCCACCATGGGCCCCACTGTCTCCCTCAGTAACGCTGGCAAACAAGCAGACGTGGCTGTGGTCCTGTTTGTGCTCCAAGGCTGAGTGCCTGTTCACCTCTCCTGGGGACTGTGTTTTCTTTGCTCCTCATCAATTTGGGGTTCCAGGAAACTGGGTCATTCCTAGCTGAGAAAGGCAGCTCCCTACTCTGCTGACAGGCAGTTGGGAAGATGTGCAAGCAATTCTTTTTGGTCTGCTACCCATCACCATGGAAACCAGTGGAGAAAGAGGGAGGTGGGGGAGGCAGCTCTTGCAAGATTGTGAACAGTTGGTTCCCTTCCTCTCTTTCTCCACTAATGACCAGTCCCAGAGGAGTTTGTATCTCATTCATTCCCTAGCAACATTTACGGGGCACTCTTTAGGGCCAGGGGCCTAAGTGCTTTACAACCATTATCTTGAAGACTCCCCCACAAGGTAGGAGTCTTGCTACCTTGCTATTTTTATTTTACAGATGAGGAAACTAGAGGCACACAGATGGTAAATAACTTCCCTGAATCACACAGGCAGTAGTCAAACCAGGATTGAAACCCAGATAGACTGACACCCAAATTTGTGCCTTCTATGCTACCTTGCACTGCCTCTCCAGAGTAGGATCAGTGGGAGCAGTCATGCGGACACCTGGAGAGGTGCCTTGAGTGAGAAGAGTTTGGGAAAATCTCCTTCCTCCCTCCTCTTCTCAAGGTGATGGGGTTCACCTGGGGAGGTTGCTTGGCTGGCCTCCAAGAAACAGTATGGGGACAACTATTAAGCATGGTAAATGGGACACACTAGGGGATGTCTGGATCTTCTTCGTGGGTTCATAGGCATGCATTTGTCAGCAGGCTAAATGGATCTTTAGTTTTCAGTAAAAAGTAACTGACACAAAAACACCAAATAATTGCAAGCATTTGTAATCAGGGCAGCTCCCCTGTAATAGCAAGCTTACACAGGATATCCAGTCTTACTCAGGTGGTTGAATAGATTAGTGCACAGTGCACCTGGCTCACTCTAATGAGACTGCCCAAAAGCTTCTCTCTCTGCGTGTAACTGAACTTACCCAGGAAGCTAAACCCTAGCTCAGTACATCTGAGTGCTGGATATGTGAAGTCAGTAGAATGTAATCTTAGATGATCATGCAATTGGAAAATAAGATTAGCTAAATGAATCATTTTTAAAGAATTATCCTAAAATTGCCTGCTGTATATACATCTGTCTTGTCCTATTATTACAAATCCACTGCCTGCAACCACCTACATCCTCCCTATTTCCTTTAAGAAATTTAAAGACAGATTTCAAACATACGCAGAAATACAGAGATAACATAATAGACACCCACCACTCAAATTTAACCAATATTAATAGCCTTTTTCTTCACATATTTTTCCTCTTGAAGAGATAAGAATTGAAGTCTTCTTTGGAACCCTTTCCAATTTCATCCTCCTCTTTTTCCAAAAATGATTAAAGTCTAAGTTGGTCTCTATCCTAAATACTTTTTCATTCCTCTGTATTCTTTTATTCCTACGGTTTATACTTGCTAGTTCTTTCTTTTCTCGGTTCACTAAGAAATGTGATCAGGAAAAGAAAGACTAATACTCCATGGCAATGAGTGCATGCCCAAGTTTTGGGTATAGCTTTTCCTCAGTTTCCCATCTGATTCTGGCTTCTAAGTTTTCCTCTGTAGCCCCTGCAGTCCCACTGCATCAGGGGCACAGGCCAGGGCAGGGGTCCTGTGTGCATATGGGCTCTGGCTTTCCTTCCTGCAGGTGTCAGCTCTATCCAGCGCTGGAGGAGTGGAGAACCTCATTCTCCTGGAGCAGGAGAAGCACCGGCCCCATGAAGTGGGCTCTGTGCAGTGGGCTGGGAGCACCTTTGGACCCATGCAGAAGAGCCGGCTAGGGGAACACGAGTTTGAGGCCCTCATGAGAATGCTGGACAACCTGGTGAGTCTGCTGCCATTTTCCCTTCTAGGCCAGGCCATGGAGACTTAGCCCCTAGAACCAGCTAGTACAAGGTGGACAGAAAAATCTGCCAACACCTTGATTAAGATGTTGAAAGCTTCACTGATAGGCAGTTTGATTTAGAATTTGCAATAATTCAAGTTGCAATGGATATCATCTTTGCAGAGTGCTCTGTGAGAAGCAGTGATCCGGTATTTCTATGAGAAGTAGTGATTTTGACATCCATAGCCTCTCTTATACTGGGGATTAGTTCATGCCTCTTACATAATTAGCCCTGTCTTTCTTTCTATTCTCTGACTTTGATGTAGAAGGCACATATTACTCCTAATTTCCTTATTCTTAGGCAGCAGCTTCATGATAATACCTGACTGCAATGAATAAATGAATCAATCATGTAAGAAATTGAACTGGCATGTGTCTAGAAGTAGGCCAGTTCATTAAATAATACCAAAATTGTTTTAGATATCCTTCTTTCTTCTAGAGGCTAAGTAGTTAAGAGTGTGAGACATTAGAGGAGACATTTCAGGAACGACAGGGAAGAATATATAATGAGGAGCGAATTGTAGCAAGAAATTATAACATTTTAGATTGCTCAAAAAAGAGAAATGAAACCTATCTTCATAACATTTCCACCTGGTTCTCTTTTCCAAAGCTTATTGCTACTGCCTTCTACCCCCTTTATCACATCAAGGTCACAACAATGATTAATACATTTGTCCCTGCTCTCATTTCCTCTAAGTCATCTTCATCTCACTACCAGATGTATCATGAGGGTCACGTAATAATAATGAAAGGTATAATCCACAACGAGAATGCAACTCCTTTATACCGTTTAGGTCCTGGGTAATTGACATCTGAATGAATTATCATGCCTATATGATTTCATATAGGAATTCTTTCAAACCATTAAGAAATAATTATGGTACTATTTAAACTGTTTCAGAGAAGAGTGAAAGAAGGATACTAAGCTGTAACGATTATAGCACATTCAGACCAATTACACTTTGTATGTTAATGAAAAAAATGCTGCCTAAGCCAGACATGGTGGCACATGCCTGTAATCCCAGCACTGTAGGAGGCTGAAGTGAGGGGATGACAAGTTTAAGCCCAGCCAGACAACTTAGTGAGACTCTGTCTTAAAATAAAAATAAAACAAAGGCTAAGGGTGTGAATCAGTGCACAGGCCCTGAGTTCAGTCTCTACTAGTGGAAAACATGCTTCTTTAAAACCAGCAATTAATATTGAGGATAACTTTAGAATAATACTACACAATAACTGAGGACTCACCCCTAGAGTGCAAGGATGGTTTAATATTATAAATCTTTTAAATATACTTCATGAGGCCAGGGATTTAGCTCAGTGTTGGCACTCCTGCCTCACAAGTACAAGGTCCTGAGTTCGATCTCCACACCAAAAGCAAAGCTACTTAAATATATTTCATGATATTGAAGATTCAAAGGATAGAAACTTTTTTATCATGTTAATAAATATAAAGGAATTTGATAAAACTTTTTTTTTCAGCATTAATTGAGTTTATTGGTACATTTTAGGGATACAGTGCAGTTACATTCATTGTTGGGATCTTGTACCTCTACATGACAAGTCTTGATTCTCATTTTTTCCCCTTACCTCTGCCCTCCCTTCACCCCCTCCTCCTCTCCCCATCTACAAACACTTTATTTTCATCTTTTCATTCTCTCACATTTTTTTCTTTTCCCTTTTTACTCTTACCCTACCCATCCCACCTTCCCTTAGCTCCTTTCTTCCCATTTCTAAATGTCAGTAATCTTATTAGAATCTTATGCATTGTTGCAGATTATTCACACCAGGGAAACTATTTGGTATTTACACATGTGTGACTTATTTATTTCACTTAGGAGTATATCTTCAATATGTATCCATTTTCCTATGAATGAATCTATTTTCTCGTTCTTTATGGCTGAGTAATATTCCATTTTATAGAAAAACCACAACTTCTTTATCCAGTTTCCAACGGATGGGCAAATAGGTTGTTTCCAAGATTTAGCTATTACAAACTGTGCCGCTATAAACATGGGTGCACATACTTCTCTGTGATATGATTCTTTTAGTTCTCTTGGAAAGATACCCAACAGAGGGATGGCTGGGTCAAATGGAACCTCCAGTCCAAGCTCTTTGAGGTATCTCCATATTGATTTCCATAGTGGTTGCACTAGTCTGCACTCCCACCAACAATGGAGGAGGGTTCCTTTCTCCCCACAACCCCGCCAACATTTGTTATTGTGTGATTTCTTGATAGCAGCCATTCTTTGTGGGGTGAGGTGGAATCTCAGTGTTGTTTTCATCTGCATCTCTCGAATGACCAGTGATGTGGAACATTTTTTCATATATTTTCTTGCTGCTTTCACTTCTTTGTATGAGAAATGTCTGTTCATTTCGGATGCCCATTTTTGGATCGGGTCTTTATATTTGGGGGGACTGATTGTTTTGAGTTCTTTATATATCCTTGATAATAGTCCTTTGTCTGAGGTACAGCTGGTAAAAATTTTTTCCCACATTGTAGATTGTCTCTTAGTTCTGCTAATGGTTTCTTTTGAAGTACAGAAGCTTTTTAGTAAGATGAGATCCCAGTTGTTGATTCTTTCTGCTAGTTCCCGTGCTACTGAGGATTTGTTCATAAAGTCTTTTCCTATACCAATGTCTTCCAGAGTTCTGCCTAACTTACTTTCCAGCAAGTTTAATGTTTCTGTTTTAATATTTAGATCTTTAATCCATTTGGATTTTAATTTAGTGCATGGCGAAAGATAAGGGTCTAATTTTAATCTGTGGCAGGTTGATATCCAGTTTTTCCAACACCATTTATTAAAGAGGCTATCTTTCCTCCACTGAGGATGGTGAGCTCCTTTGTCAAAGATGAGGTAGCTGAGTACATCTGCATTTGTTTTTGTGTCTTCCAGTCTGTTCCACTGATCCTCAGGCCTATTTCTTTGCCAGTACCATGCTGTTTTTATCACAGTGGCTTTGTAGTATAGTTTCAAATTGGGAATTGTTACACCTGGTGCCATGTGACTGTTGCCTATAATGGCTTTTGCTATTCTAGGTCTCTTATGGTTCCAAATGAATTTTTGGATTTTTTTTTCTAGTTCTGTGAAATATAGTGTTGGAATTTCAATTGGCATTGCATTGAATGTATATAGCAGTTTTGGTAGTATGGCCATTTTCACTATGTTGATTCTTCCTACCCAGGAGCAGGGGATATCTTTCCATTTTTTTATATCCTCTTCGATTTCTTTTTTCAGAGTGCTGTAGTTTTCAGTGTAGAGATCTTTTGTTTCTTTTGTTAGATTGATTCCTAGATACTTCATTTTTTTGGATGCTATTGTAAAAGGAATTTTTTCCCTTATTTCTCTCTCCGTGTGTCTGTTATTTGTGTATAAGAAGGCTATTGATTTTTGGGTATTCACCTTGTATCCAGATACTCTACTGAATCTGTCAATTAAGTCTAGAAGTTTTTTGGATCTTCAATGTAGAGTATCATATCATCAGCAAATAATGATAGTTTAACTTCTTCCTTTCCTATCTTTATTACTTTAATTTCTTTCTCTTGTCTAATTGCTGTGGCTAATGTTTCCAGGAATTTGATAAAACTTTAACATCAGTTTATAAATAACAGCTATCAACTGAAACAGGACACAATATGATTAAAATGACTTTTCCAAAAACAATAGTTCATATAATGGTGAAGTACTACAAGTATTTCCACCAAACTTTGAAACAAAATAATTAGTTCTGTTCTTATGACTATTATTTAATAGTATTCTGGATTGATATTGGGACTCAATCTAGGCAGTGAGATATAAGGAAGAGGTATAAATATTATAAATGAAACAAGATTATTATATGCCTCATAAGTACAAAATCAGCTGAAGGTAGTCAATTATGAAAAAATATATACAAAAATCCATCTTTGTATCTTAGCATGGATTCTTTCAAAGACAAAATGAGGTTGGGGGGATATAGTTTATACAGCACTTGTCTAGCATGTGTGATGTGTAAGGCTCTGGGTTTGATTCCAAGAACTACAAATAATAATAATGATAATGGAGGAAAATAATCCTATTTGCAAAGATAACAAAGTCATAAACATTGAGCAGACTTCATTTAAAGAAAATGATAAAACTTTACCCTTAGACCTCAGAGAAAACTTGAAATCAGTATTGGGGACCCTTGCAGTGGATCCTGGTCTTCTGCTCAGTGCATGGCAAGAAGAAAGACTTAGAGATTGAATTAAAGAGATGGGGAACTGGGATGACCAGTGCTTGAGCAAGCAAAAGCTTGAGCAACAAAAGCCTTGAACAGCCATAACCATTGATATTTATTGGTGATGTAATCATTATTAGGTTGGGGTAAGGGGACTCTGTGTGGTTGCTAAGGATATGTTGCTGAATGAAGGCAAGTCCTGTAAAAGGAGACAAATCATTCTCGTGTTAGGCTGGGAATGGAATTTGGGTAAGAAACAGTTTGCCCTTGGCTGTGTTCTCTCAGATGCTTTGGTAAGACTCAATTCTTAAAATAAGCCAATTGCAGAGTTAACTCTTTACCGCCTGCACTACTTACAGCCTGCTTTGGGCATGATCAATGGGGTGGACCCCCACAATCAGCGATGAGCTGTAATTTATCCTTGGTTAGAAAACCCCAACAAGATAAAGAAGTCATGGCTCCAAAAATCAGTCTACAAACAGAATGTAATTCTCTCAAAAATGAGGGAAATCACAAAGACTTAAAATGTACTTCCAATATGAAACTCAGAATGGCTAAAAAATGCTAAGTAGAATCTAAGTGGGGATTACTAGTTCCCCCGCATGCTAAAATGTGATAAAGTGTTAGTAATAGAATGGAGAAGAAAAGAAGGGAAAAGTAAAAATATGAGAAAAGGAAAACATGGAAACAAAGTCTTTGTAAATAGGGAAGGGCGGAGGGGGATGAAGGGAGGTCAGGGAAGTGGGGAAAAAATAAGAACCAAGATATATCATGTAAAGGTATAAGATCCTAATGATGAATGTAACTGTACTGTATACATAAAATGTACCAATAAACTTAATGGAAAAAAAAAGAATGAGCAAGCAAACCCATACAACACCTTAAAGAATCCAGAAATAGACCCAAAATGTATTGGAATTTACACAGGGTAAGAAGGCACTTTATAAATCAGAGAGGAAAAGATAGACCTTGAGCATTTTGGGAAAAAAACTAAGGCAAATTGCTACCACATTCCTTCCAACAACATAAAAAAGCCTAAGTTTTCAAAAATTTTGACATGAGTGCTTGCTTCAGCAGCACGTATACAAAAATTTTAACATGAAAAATAAGCTTACTAAGGTATTAAAAAACACTGATTTATATTTGAAGTGCTCTTGTATTGGAAAAGACCTTGTTTAGCATGGCAAGATAGAAATCATGATGTAAACACTGACAAATGCAATTACATTAAAAATTCAGGTTGGAGGGACTGGGGATTTGGCTCAGTGGTTCCACTGCCTGCCTCTCAAGTGCAAGGTCCCAAGTTTGATCCCCAGTAAAAAAAAAAAAAAAAAAAAAATTCAAGTTGGGCCCAATGGTGCATGCCTGTAATTCCAGTGGCTTGGGAGGCTGAAGCAGGAAGAATACAAGTTTAAGGCCAGCCTGGGCAACTTAGTGAGAACCTGTCTCAAAATGCAAAATAAAAATAAAAATGGGTAGGGATGTAGCTTAATATAAAGGCCCCAAGTTCACCTGCCAGTAATGTACACGTACCTTGCACACATGTGTGTGCGTGTGCATGCACACACATGCACAAATTTACATTTCTGTAAACCATTCCCCAACCATAAACAAAGCTTAAAGACAAATTGTAGAGGTACATATTTGCAACATTAACCAACAGCTGACGATTAATAGTCTTACTGTGAAAAGACTATATATCAATGTGAAAAAGATAAATATCTCAATAGAAAAATGTATACTTACATACACAGAGATGATGACAAAGTTTTTGTAGTTCTCTCTGGGGTGAGCTCAAGTTCTCATGTTTTCCTTATGTTTTTCTATATTGTTTAATTTTTATGCATGGATCTGAATTTTCTTGATAATCAGAATAATACCTTACTGCCATTTTAATTTTAAAAGGGAAAGAAAGAACTGAGTACTATTCTGGCTAATGCCAGCTGCCTGAGTGTGTGTTCTCACTGAACAGCTGTCAGCTCTGCCTTTGTATATGTAGATGGTCTTTCTTAGGAGACCAGGAAGTTCTTGAGTCAGATTTCCACATTCCAGGAGGGAAATAGGGAAGCTTTTAGCAGTCTTACAACCCAGGCCATGCCGTGTCCAGTTTAGGCATTATCCTGCTAAGCCAGCAACTCTAAGGTCCAGACAGACATCAGCATTTTCAGAGCTCCCCTGGAGATTCCAGTGTGCAGCCAAGGTTGAGAACCACGGGACCAGATGCAATTTGGACCTCTGTGTTCACAAAGTTCTAAACACAGGGATTCTCTCAGTCCTAGTCAGTGAGCATGTGGGGGACCAGCAGGAGGATACAATTTTGAAAGACACCAAAAGAGCAGTGAGGCAGATTGTCCAATGGAGATTTGGGTTTAAAGTGAGTTCTTAAATGGAAGGGGGCAAAGTGTGTGCTTGTGAGTGTGTGCATCTACAGACCCTTTTCCTCCACTATTAACAGATCTGTTTTTGTCCATCTTTAGGGATACAGAACAGGCTACACATACCGCCATCCCTTTGTCCAAGAGAAAACCAAACACAAAAGTGAAGTGGAGATCCCAGCCACAGTCACAGCCTTTGTGTTTGAGGAAGATGGTGCCCCAGTGCCCGCCTTGCGACAGCACGCCCAGAAGCAGCAGAAGGAGAAGACCCGTTGGCTGAACACTCCCAACACCTACCTGAAGGTCAACGTAGCAGATGAGGTCCAGAGGAGCATGGGTAGCCCACGGCCCAAGACCACGGTAAGAGGGAAGCTAGGACAGCCCTGGGAGGAAAGGGCAAGCTGTATTTGTGGGTGTAAGCAGCTTTATAAGAGGAATAGAGTCAATCTTCCTTTTGCAGAGTTTTGTGCAATTTCCTCTTAGGGCTCCCTTTTGTGCCCTTGGAAACAGCTGCTCAGGCCCTCTTCCTTGCCTCTATGCTCTGAGTTGTTAGGTCTGAGGGTCAGGTTTCTCTAGAGGGCAGCCAGATGAGACTACTCCCAGCAGCACAAGACCGAAGAGCAGTTGGTTTTTGCTCCTTGCTCCCATGTCTCAAGGGGACTTCTAGGAAATTGCAGGGATGGGCATCCAACATTTGGACTCTAGATATACTGTCACTTGTATTAAGTCACCTTCTCTCTCTTTCTTTCCCTCTTCCATATATATATAATATATACGGAATATGTATATATATATGTATATATATATACATATATATGTATGGAATATGTATATATATGGAATATATATATAATATATATATTATATATATAATTATGTATATATATGACTCTCACTTTGATTTTTCATTAACATAAAAGTAACTGTAGCAAATAGAATAGCTCTGCATGAAATATGAAACTCTCAAAACAACTCAAACGGAGTTATCTGATACTAAAATTTCAATGGTTACCTAAGTTGCTTACCACGGGTCTGACTCCTGCTTGGCTCCCTGCTGTGCCATGTTCTTTACCGTTTGAGGATCTTCTTTGGCAGCTGGGTCATCTGGACCCATCTCTACCCTGGGAGACATTAATGAGGCCCAAGAAGAAACAGTATCTATAACTAGTCTGGTTGACCCTCCACTTAGATTGGTAGGCCCAGATCTCAATGAGTGGACCCCTAAGGAGGACTGTGGGCCTTATTCCTTTGCCTCACCCACTGGTCTTACTCTTGTAGTGGATGAAAGCTGATGAGGTAGAAAAATCCAGCAGTGGCATGCCAATCCGGATTGAAAACCCAAACCAATTTGTGCCTCTCTACACTGACCCTCAAGAAGTGCTGGAAATGAGGAACAAGGTAAGTTGGTGGCTGCTTGTCTCTCTCTTCTTCACAAGGGGCTTGCAAGTCCTACAGATATAATTGTAGGTGTGTCTAAAGTACCACCCATAAAATGAGTTGTTATGGATTTTATATAATCTTCCTTTTGGCTTATTTTCAAGATTTCAAGAACTTTTGTCATGAGTCTCTCTGGATTCGTGCCTGACACTTTGATCTCTTATACCCTGATGTTACCTTAAAATTGGAGTCATAGCAGACCACCCCCAGTAAGTCGATAGCTCCCAGAACAGGGCTCGGTGCTCATTTCAGATTCTGGGGTTAGCACCTCCCAACCTCCTCTCGGGATTTAGATGTAATAGGTTTGGGGTGGTCCCAGTAATGTATATTTAAAGCAAATTTCTCAGGGGCTTCTTGGGAATATTAAAATGTGAGACCCTCCCTCAAGGATCTCCTGGGCCTCTTTCCTTTTATGACTCCTCAGAGTTAATGCAAAGCTGGTGTTTTTCATGGACAATGAATTTACTCTGGACCAGGCATAAGGATCATCTCTAGGAACAGACAGGCTGTGTTAGAAGAATGAAGGGAGAACCATTCTCCATCCCAGTCATAGGCCACACTAAACTTCAGTGTGGCAAACTCCCTGGCAAACTCCACACACTGATGCTGAACCCTTGTTCTCCCCTTTCCCCACAGATTCGAGAACAAAACCGACAAGATGTGAAATCAGCAGGGCCTCAGTCTCAGCTCCTGGCAAGTGTTATCGCTGAGAAGAGCCGAAGCCCGGTACAGCAGAGGCCACCCCTTGCTGGAGGGGAAGCGTGTTTGCCTTCTGGGTCTTCTCAGCAGGACCCCTGACTCCTCATGCTCACCCTCCCCTGTGATCTTGGGCCTTGCTGCTCTTGCTGCCAAATGGAGGTCCACCTCATGGGGAAGCTGTGAGGTTCTGGGAGGACAGTGTCTAATCACCCCCTGTGGGCACCAGGCAGGGGGCTGTAGCCCAGCCTGCCTACAGGATTACTACTGGCCAGCTCCCTACCTTCCACCATGGATTCTACTTGGCCCCCTATGAGTACCCTGCAGAGGGCAGGTGGCTCCCAGGTGCCCAAGCCTGCCTGGCTCCCAGTGTTTCTGAGCTCTGTGGTGTGAATATAGCAGCAACAGCCAGAGAGCTCTGGAAAGATGTTCCTGACCCACAGAGAAGGGTGTGTAGACAGGATCAGGTTTCCTGCACATTGGGAGGGGCGATTAGCTGCCCACACAAACCCGCTTAGAGTTAAAGAGCAAAAAGCCATTGTTTTTGTGTGTGAGATAGATGGTGTCTTGTCTAGTGCTTAGCATCAAGAATGAAGTTCAGGATCCTGGCTTGTGTTGTTTCAAATCATTGCTGCTCGTGGCAAGGTAGCAATAGGAGTGCGGGGCATTTCCCTTGGCAGTAAAAAGTGAACAAGTACAGGTAATATTGCTCTCTACAGAGCAAAAGAAGATGATATGACTGTTTTAGACCAGGCTGAAGCCCATAGTGTGGGGGCCTGCTGGCAGGAGAAGGGTGGACATCACATCTCTACACCCATCTCTCACCCACCCAACTAAGCCAAGATAGGAACACTGAAGTGCCACAGAATCAAGGATAGAAACAGCTCATGATTCTAATGGAGGAGAAAGGTCAGTACAGTGAGCAAACTGTCAAAACCTAACTCTCCCATGTATACCTGGTGCTCTCCTTGGAATCCCTCTTGGGATCTTGTTCTTGGATTCTCCTGGACTCCATGATTCCTCATAGTAGGGCTGCTGCTGCCTCCTTTTTTGAAAAGAGAAGACCTGACCACCCAGGGTTTCCCTTCTCTTGGCTTCACTTTCCTCTGCTTCCCCTCAGCTTCAGACCACTGCATTCTCAAAGGCCAAGATAAGGATGCTCAATTAAGAAAAAGGCCTATGCAGTTTGAAGTTTAGTGTCTTTTTTGGGCTAGAGGGGGCAAAGCTTACACAAAATCTGGCTGGTCAGCACCTTAGGGAAAAGGGCCCCACAGAGGTGGAGAAACAGAGTGATTTTGCCATTGTCCCTGTAGGGACCCGCATTGCAGGCGAGCTGAAGATCTGAGACTCAGGACCTTGGCCCCTTTGTAATTTATGACCGGGTGCAAAACAATACTAACTGCTTGGACTGAGAATGCTGAAGCTGCTGTGTTGTGCAGATGACTTAATGCTGTGTGTTGTGGCTTGCACTGCTGTTGGGAACAGGGTGGGGGGCAGTGGTGGGGAGTGGCTGGCTTGAAGCTTGCTCAAGCCAATGTTATGCTTGCTGAGCTTTGGCTGACTGACTTTGGGCCACTGACTGTATTCTCATTAGTACCAGCTTGGAGTATCCATAGAGGGATTGCAATAAAGGTGTGTCTTCCTTCTGCTTGGGAGCATCCTTTGATTTTATTTCAGGGGCAAAGGGTAGACCCATGTATTCATCCAAACAGTTGCAAATCTGGGTCTGGGCATGAGGTAGCAATCGGGAGGCATGAACGAGCCCCACCCCAAGGCCCTGAGCTGTTTCCAAGGAGCTGCATGCCACGCTATCCCTAGCAAGACTGCTGGCAGCCACCTGAATCTGAAAGGAAGGAAGCTCAGGTCCAGGCCCCAACTGCGGCATTCAGAGAGCAACACACACTCTGTGGTTAACTTTCAGTCTACAGAGAGCCAGCTGATGTCCAAGGGTGACGCGGATACCAAAGATGATTCAGAGGAGACGGTGCCCAACCCCTTCAGCCAACTTACTGACCAGGAGCTGGAGGAATACAAGAAAGAGGTGGAGAGAAAGAAATTAGAATTGGATGGTAAATAACCCAGGGGCATTGTGGCTTCCGAGTCTCCCAGGGTTGAGGGCAAGTTCAGGACTCCCCATTGAGAACCTTCCTGCCCCATCACCAAATAATATTCTTATTAGCAGAACACTGTTAATCACAATAATGTCCCTCCTTGCTCTCTGCCTAACAGTTCCACGGTGCCTTCATGACATCATTTGACCCTCTCATCTAAGTATAAAGGATTTAATATTTGTAATATTAGAAATACATTTTAGAATATTTTAATATTAGAACAATGCCTGTAAATATGGCTTATGCTAGTAAGTACCAGAAAAATGTTAGCTATAGTAAGATAGGTATAATAATCATAATCATTATTAGTGTCCTACTGGGTCTGATGTAAACTTTGTACCCTGTAGTCAGAGCTCTGTCCACTCGCTGGCACCTTTATATCATTTTCTCCCCTTTATGTCAGAGACTTTAGCCCAGCCCATCCCCATGTTGATCCCCAAATGTTCATACTGATGATAGCTTCTGTTCCCTGATTCATACTTTTGTCCCTTCCTGGAACTGTTTCCCTTCTCAGCCTGCTCAGAGTCATGGACTACAGGCTGCCTCTCAAATCTCTCTCCAACTAGGAAGGTCTCTCTGTCACCTTCCCCAGTCCACCCCAATCGAGCCATCTCTCCTCTTTGTTTCAAGAGCAGCTGGGGTGTGAGACACATAATTCAGCTTTTGCTTGTGTCTACCAGTGTGAGCTGTCATCCCTCAGGGCAAGGACTTCCTCCCTTACCTCCCCCCACCCAGCATCAGCCACCTTCCTGCCTTTCATGGAGTGCGGATTGGAAGAATAGAACAGCATGATGCTTTTTGTCCCAGGAATTTAGACAAACTGTAAATTAACTAAGTTAATATATTAGCTACATGCAAAAAAATCCTTGGCATTTGGTTGTTTGGGGCCCCACTCTGATGTGTGTATCTGGCTGGCCCTCTTCTAAGCCAGGATGTGTTGGACACTTCCTGCCATCTTACCATCCCCATACTGCACTGGTAGATGTGCTTTGATGAAGGAAACAATGTCATGCTTACTTTCCCTATTTGCCTCCCCAAGGAAGTAGCAGAAATCAAAAAGAAAGCTCAAGAGAAGTAGCTAACTACATCCAGAAGATTCATTATCAGCCAGGAGAAATGATAACCAAATAGAAAAACACACTGTTTCATACTCACCCTCTAACCCATCTCACTGTATTTCCAGGAGAGAAGGACACTGCCACAGAAGAGCCTGGCTCCACTGTAAAGTCTGCACCTGCTTCTCCAGCACAGAGTCCAACGAAGACAGAGAAAAAGAGCCCTACAGTCTCTCCGTCCAAGTCCACTGAAGGTGAGTGGAGCTGAGCACGTTAGGCAGCAGGGAGGAGCATCTACAGGCTAGAAAGCTGCCTGTGAGGAGGGCAGGGCAGGCACTCACACTGCAGGTACCTTCTTTCAACAGGTGTTATTTCTACCCTCCCCTCCACCACCACTTCCCCCTCTACTATTTCTAGGAAATCTGAACAATTTTCAGTTTTTTTTTCATTCAGGAGCTATGACAAGAGACCTTACAAATTACACCCTGATAAGCAGTGAGTGAACCAAGGATTGACCCTTTTGTCATATATATAATTTTTTTTTGTACTGGAGATTGAACTCAGGACCTTGTGCTTACAAGGCAGGCAGCAGAACCACTGAGCTAAATCCTTGGCCCAGCCTTTTGATATACAGCTTTCTCTCCAGCAGAAACCCATCTGAGGATCTTGTTAACATGAAGATTCTGATCCTTGAGGTCTAGACTGGGTTCTGAGACTCTGAATTTCTCAGAGTGAGGCTGATGCCATTCTTAACCTCAACTGCACATTGAAGTCACCTGAGAAGCTTTAAAAATCCTGATGCCTGGATCCCACACCCAGCCTTTCAGAGTTAAGTGGAAGGAATGCAGCCTGGAGTTGTTAAGATCTCTCCTGGGAGTCTAAAGTGTAGACCAGAGTACTGCTTTTTTTAGAGACATTAGTTTGGAGATCCAAGGTCTAGGCCCAACTGAACTTCTAATTTTAGCGTATTAAAGAACCTTTGTGCCTCAGTTTCTTATATGTGAAATGGGATTACTAATATTTTCCCTTTTAAAGGTTCTTAAATGTATAAGGCAACTGCAGTCACACTTTGAAATAGTAAGAGCATGATTTAAATATAAGATAATTATGATTATGATTAAGAATATACAATATGGTAGACAATGACTCTAACATAGTCTCTATAATGAGCTCCTCAAATCACTCCAGAGCATGAACACTCCCTTCCTGGCTCCCTGAGAGGCCCCAGTAGAGAGGGCTGTGCTGCTACCCAGAAAGCAGCACCTTGGTGGCCTGCCAGGATCTTCTCCCTGTTGGGTAGAATGGCCACACAGGCAGATTCAGGTAGCTCTCTACCCATGAGGTTGCTCCAGAAGCCTCCTGCTGCCTTGAGCACAGGTCTAGCACTGTCAGAGGAAACCCATCTGCTTGAGGTTGTAGCCCCAAGTGGATGTACCGCAACCGTTTGTGTTCATGTGTCTCATCATGGTGTTGTGTTGTCAACCTGTCTCCACAACGTCTTCCTTTCTCTTCCCATTTGTGCCTTCATCGAAGGAGTTTCCTCCGATTCTGAATACTTGTCTCTGTAGTAAGTATAGAGAGGCTGTTTACTCACTCCAATACTTGTAGTGGGGGAGGGAGGAATTTTTCAAAAGTAATGTATTTCTCCCAGTTTTTTCATTTGCAGCTCACAGCCCTATTTTTGGGAAGTTTCCTGGATGTAAGATTCATGATCAATTCCACCTGTACCATACATGGGCAACGCTTTCCTGTGAGAGACGCAGGGCACATACATGCACAAACACACACCTGCACACAGGGCACACACATCTAGAAGCATCAACCCCTACCGTGAGGGACAGTGGGACTGATCTCAGTGCTGTCTGCAGTCAAGTGCTTATGGCCGTGATGAGCTTACCTCCACCTCTGTTCCTAATGCATGGGTGGGTGCCTCTAAGGTACTCATGATCTCTCCAAGGACTGCAGGCCAGACGCCAGGTGCTCTTGGAGACCAGCTGCTACATAAGGCAGTGCAGACACCCTGGTCTTAGGACATGCATACCAACTACAGGAAGGAAATCCCGGGCTCGAGAGGAGGCAGGTGGCAGGAGTAGAGCAAAGGTGACAATTTATCAGAAGCCCCTAGAAGGGACAGAGAGAAGGAAGAGAATGGGATGGATAGGATGGTTGTTTACCCATCACCCAACATCATAGCTGCTGTGGCAGGAGTCTTCATTTTCTAGGGTCCATAACCATACTCCTGGAAAGACATACTGTGGTTGTGTTGCTAGAAAAATTATGGTCTTCCCTGAAGATGCTTCCTGCACCACAGACTATGCTGGGGAGTGTGGCTATCTTGGAAGAGAACGTGCATGATGAGGGTCTGAGCTGTAGTTATATGGAGTGATCAGTGTGAGGTGGGGCTGGGTGACTTTGGCCAGGGTAGATAGGGCTCACACACAGGGCAACATCTGCATTCTCACATTTAGCTGACCCATCAGATCAAGGGTAGCTTTTTTCAACCACTTACCACTTTGCTCTCAAATCTGCTTGTGCTGAGTCACCTTAGTTTAGTCATCTTCATCTGTGTCACTGAGTCCTATCCCATCAGCCTCTCTGAGAGGGACTCTTTCAAATCTTCTTCCTTTACATCTGGCCATCTGTGCCATCTTCTCTTGGACTAACCCCTGACTGACATCTGTCCTTACTAACTAACTTGCAGAAGAATAGCCCTATATTTGACATGAGATGGTCAGCTCTGCTCCTGAAGAATTTAGCCATCTCCAGTAAGTCACTTAGCACCCCAGAATGAGGGACTAACACAGACTCTTGCTCTTTGTAGCTCACAGCACTGTTGTCAAAATAAAGTGAGTTAAGGAATAGAAAATTACTTTAATGAATGAGCTTTACATAAATTAGTTGTTGTTATATACTGTGTTCTCTGAATTGTGAGAACAAATACACCACTTGATGTCTTAAACCTCTACATTTTAGGATGGTTTGATATGCAGCACTAGATATTAAATCATGGTGCTTAATAAGAACTAGTTTTATGGAAATTAGTTCTGTGAACTGACTGGAGTTGACTGGGTTCAGCTTGATGGTTCTTTTGCTCCATGTGATGTCAGTTGGAACTGCAGTCAGCCAGGAACTTTTCTGGTTGGAGCTTCCAAGATGTTGCACTCATATGTCTAGTACCTTGGCCAAGGTAGTAGAAGCCTGGCTGGGCTTGGCTGGGACACTAGAGTGGGTCTGGATCTCTCTCTCTCTCTCTCCCATCTCAGGCCCTCTCTGTGTGGTCTCAGGTCCTCTCCGTGTGGCATTTCCACATTTCCATTGGGGTAATTGGACTTTATACATGGTGACATAGGAGGCTGCTAGACCTTAAGTCTTTGGCCTGAGATTGGCTCTGCAGCACTTGTGTCTTCCCGTGGTTCTAGTGAACCACAGGGCCAGCCTGGATTCAGTGTGTGTGGAGGGATTACATGAATAAGTGAATACCTAGAGGCATGGTTCATAGGTGCCATATTTACACAGCTATTCCACACACTAAAAATATATTTGGGTGCTCTGCGGAGCTTTTATATCCCAACTATCATGAGTGAGTGGGAGTTACAGAGCAACTGTATACCTGATTACAAGAAGCTCTATTTTTCTTTCCCATCTATTTTCTTTGCTTTCTCACTTCTTGGGGCAGGTAAACGTGATGAGAGATGTGTCATTCTAATTCCATATTTCCCAATGCATGGCCAATGAGGGTTTTGTATTAGAATTTACCTGAGGACTTATTAAAAACTATAAATTTATTGGCCCACTGTTTCAAAAACCTATTATGAAGGTAAAACAGAAGCTACATTTTCCCTAGTGGCCCTGGGTGATTCTTTCCCACACAAACTTTTGAGAATTTAAATCAGGACAGAAATTCTATTGAAAAGTGCTCTGCATGGTCACTATTAGTAACTTGACCAGCAGTGGGGCAGTTCTGTTTGCTGGTCTCTTTTTCTCCTGAAGAAGTATCTTGTGGACTTTTCAACTGTTACTGCATGACTACCAAGTCCTATGTCAGCATAAGTCATAGATTTTTTTCCAAAGCCTTTAATAAACACTTTTCTTGTATTCTCTGTGCAATGGTATAGAGATCAGGAAAGTAGTCACCAATTGGTGATTAGCAGTCACCAATTCTCCATCTGGGATACAGGTCATGATCAGTCTGGTTGACCTTGAATTCAGAAGCAAGTCAGCAAATCCTGCTTCCAGGCCCACTGGTATCTTCCTTGCTGCAAATAGCCTCTAAGATATATATAGATATAGATATAGATATAGTTATAGATATAGATATAGATTAGATTTTTTTTTTTTTTTGTACTGGGGATCAAACTCAAGACCTTGTGCTTGTGAGGCAGGCAGCAGCACCACTGAGCAAAACCCGCTGTGGTCATATATTTGACCCTGAGATGTTAGAAGACAAGTTCATTGGGCCAGGAAGGAAAGATAGCTTTGGTCCTGCAGTTGAGGCAAGTCCTTCCCCATGTTCCCACCCCAGTGCTAAGGAAAGCAAGGCTTCCTATATTGAGCCTTCCTCTGGTCTTACTTGGCAAAAGGCTCAGACATGTCACTGAACTGGGTGATGGTTTTCAGAAGAAAAGCAGAAGACAGAGTTATTGTCCTGAATGGTCTACTTAGGTGATAAATGACACATGTAAGCATGAAATGAATAGGTGAGTAGTAGATTTAGAAGAAGACCAGATCACTGTCAAGTGTCAGGGGATGCAGCACAGATAAAGTATGGTTTGAGCCAGCTTTTAGGGAGCTATACACTTGCCCTGGCAGACAGGAGTGGGGTGGGTTGTCCAGGCCAGGGATGATATCTAGAAAGCTGGGGGTGAGCACTGCTGGAAGGTGATTTATTAGGGTTCTTCAGAGAAACAGAGCCAATAAGTCATATAACAATATATAAAACAATACTAATTAGGGAATTGCCCCCCATGATTATGGAGGCCAAGAAGACCCACGACTGAGTTTCTGCAAGCTGATGAACCAGGAAAGCTGGTAGTATAATTCACCATCAGTGTGAAGGCCTGACAGAGCTCCAGAGGACAGGAAGAAATGATGTCCCAGTTCAAGGCGGCGGGGAGAGCATTCCTCTAGTTTCTCATTCTGTTTGGGCCCTTAGTGGCTTGGACTGACACCCAACCATACTGATGAAGCCCTATCTTCTTTGCACAGTCTCCTGATTCAAGTGCTAATCTTTTCCAGAAAAATCTTCACAACATATCCAGAAATGACGTTTTACCAACTACCTGGTCGTTCCTTTGCTCAGTGAGGTTAACATAAAATTATTTCAGGGATATTGGTGGACCAAGAGACAGTAAATGTTTGGAGGCTGTGTGATAGTGAGAAATTCAAGTCTTCAAGAGGCAAGCGTCCAAGGAAGCTCTGGACCTCCCTACAGAAGTCTCCCTTCTCCTCCAGCCTCTGGAAGCCTCTGGATGTTTCTTCCCAACTCTACTCACTCTACACTGTTTCTCATTTCCTGAACCTCAGGTGCTCCACTTAGGACAGAAAGCCACTAGTACTTCTTTGAGGATACTGGAAGGTGACCTCCAACCTGCACCTCGTTTTTGAGGTCTCTCCCAGCCTACTCTTCAACTTATTTCTCCTGGGTTGTTAAAAGAAGATGGATCTAGCCTGTCAGAACCAGCCCTTGCTACTTTCTGAGGGCCCAAACATGTTTCTTTCTGGAGCCTGACCCACTGTCCCTTTTCTTGGTCTTCTCTTATCCTCCAGTGGTGCCTGTTCCTATAGTTGAGGAAGTTGTGACCTCAGTTTGAAAGCTGACTTCTCCAGCACCACATTCCATTTGCCATTACTCCCTAGCCAATTCACCATGAGGGAGCTCACTGAGATCATCGTGGGTGCACTGAGTGTGGCCCTCTTTTTTTGAACCTTGAGTGTTGCTCTTCTAAATGAAGACACATCAGGGGCTGAGGCTGTAGATGAGATCGACAGCAGTGCAGGTGTGAGTGAAGGGACATGAATAGGGCATGGAAAAAGGACACTATTTCAGTGAGGACCCTCATCACCACCAGGAGAGGAAATGACACTTGAACAGGAAGCTGTAATCCCTCTTATCCATAGTTTAAAAATTGTGGAGCTAGGAGGCAAATACCAGCATTGTCTCAGAGGGACAGAGCCAAAAATCAAGCTTGAGAAATATATCCTTATGTGTCACCCAAGCAAAGCATCTGCAGTAAGGGTCTGCACTGAAGGTGGCAGGACTATGGGACATATAAAAAAGCCCAGGAAAAGAATGTGAGGACTAGGAGAGTAGGTACAGGGGACAAAGGGCAGCACTCAGGCTGTTCACATGGAAGGATACGGTTCAGCTTGGAAGGCTCAGGCTGGAATAGCCAGGAAAGAGGCATATGGGTGATGAGGCGATGGTATTGGCTCAAATAGAATAAATCTATTCACACATTCACTTCTTTGCTGGTGCATTCATCCATTCATGGATTCCAAAATCCATCCATGGCTTGTGAGTACCTTCTAGGAGCGAGTTGCACAGATAATTAGACTCAGCCTTGCCCTACTTCATTTCAGTTTAGAGAAGCAGGGAGAAGATAAGCATTTAAGAAGCCAAGTGTGATAGTTTTACAGTTGCTGTGATGGAAGTTTATATAGTGGAGGCAGAAAGGACAGAGTGGTCAGTTTTACCTAGAAATGGGAATGGGGATCAGGAAAGACTTTAAGGAAGATGAAATATTCAAGCTAATTTACAGCAGAGGTAAATTTGGGGATATAGAAAGGAGAGAAGAGATCTTTTTAGACAGTGGAAATCAGGCTGGGATGACAGGGACCAAAAGGCTGATGAAGCTAGATAGATGTAGTGTAAAGAAGAGAGCAGCTTGTGTACAGACTGACAGCACCCAGGAGCCCTGGGAACACCTGGCAGAGGCGAGGGGAGTAGGAGTTAAGACACTGGGGAACTTGGTAGCTGCAGAGGACATGGGCAGTAGAACGAATGGGAGCCAGGGCCCAAAGTCTCTAACAGGGAGATCGTCTTCAGCAGGGGTCTGGGAGAGGACTATGATTTGCCAGTTTCAGAAGTTATTACACACCTCACTATAAGGAGATCTTGTCCAGGTAGTTCTAACTGCCCTAAGTTTACTGCCTTCTGCCCATCCTTCAAGTAGCCATATATTTCCCCTATCCACCCCTGTCGAAACCATAGGCTTCTCCTAAAACCTATTTCTTGACCCATTTTTCACATTCCTATATGGTGAAATGTGCTACACTTCCTTCTTGTGATGTGTAACACACCATACCCACCACACACACACACACACACACACACATCACACATGTACATTAACAGTTACACTGCATACACCCATTCTTTCTCTCACTTATATCTTCACACCACATGTACATACTCATACACGCTCACAGCCCTTGCGCGCACACACACCACACACTCACAGAAACACCACACACCACAGATTCTCCTTTCAGTTCTGTGAACTGAACCAGAAGCCAGTGACCTGAGGCTGCCTAGCATTGTAGAGTTCTATTCAGTTCTTAGCTGTGAAACAGGAGGAGAGAGCCAGATGATCTTTATGTTGCTTTCTACTTTTCAAGGTCCATGGTTTTATTCCCTCTTCCTTAATCACCTAAGTACTTCAAAGCTGGTGTGGAAGCAGGGTGTGTTGAGGGAAGGGAAGAAAGAAAGGCTGGACAGAGGGTTTAATTTCTGGGCTCTAACCAGCTCTGGCATTGAATATGGTACCTGGCAAACTCCAGGTAGAATAAAGCCTGAGATCCCATGGACAGTAGAATGGACCAAACCTTTTTGGCTGACCCCTATATTATGGAAACATGGGGTCCATATCACTCAAGGAATTTCATCCTCCCTCTGCCTTTCCCTTTTCTTTCCTGGGAAGACACTCTCCAAATTTTCCTAAGTTCCTTACTGGTGGAGAAAATGAAGTCAGTATCAAAACATGTTACTTGCATGTTTTATTGGTGAAACTGAACTGCTTACAACAGTTCCTAGATGCCTCCATGTCATGTAGGGTACATGATAACCCGCCCAACAGCCTCTCTCCTCTGTTTCTTCATTCTGTGCTTAGAAATACTCTGCACTCAGTCCCTGCTGGGCCCCATGTTCTGACATCAGCATTCATTTAAATGTGTAGACAAAAGCCCAGAGCTACTGCCCTGCCAAACACATATTCCCCAGGCCGTGTGGAAAGGGGCACAGGGTTTGGATGAAAACCATATCTGTCCATCCCGTTGAGAGCCCCCACCTTGCCTATGTCAATCCACCCCTCCCATTGCTCTAGATTACGACTAGAGTTCCCTAGAGGTGGTCTGCAGATCCCACTCACTCTCACCTGAGTAAACTTTTACGGGTGATGTCTTTTGATCTTTTTCTAGAAGATACTAAGAAGACAGAACCAAGCAAAGATACCACAAAGCCCGAAACAGCCCAGACAGAAGGGGTGGTGGTCAATGGGAAGGAGGAAGAGCAGACGGCAGAGGAAATCCTCAGCAGAGGCTTGAGCCAGATGACCACCAATGCTGACACGGATGTTGACACCTCCAAGGACAAAACCGAGTCGGTCACCAGTGGCCCCATGTCCCCAGAGGGTTCACCTTCCAAGTCTCCTTCAAAGAAGAAAAAGAAATTCCGAACCCCTTCCTTCCTGAAAAAGAGCAAAAAGAAGGAGAAAGTGGAGTCCTGATTTGTGGCACCATGGACTCCCACCTGCATCCTCTCCTTCCTCCCTCCCCTTTTCCCAACTCTGTCCCTGGAAGCATGGGGCCAAGGAGGGAAAGAATAGGAATCTGGATTATACTCAGAGAGGGAATTTACAGGTCACCCAAGCGACCCTTCATTTTACAGTTACCCCAGAGAAATCAGGTGACTTGCCCAAGGTCACACAGATAGTTAGCGGCAGAGCTTGCACTAGAATTCAGGTCTCCAGACTCCCAGTCTAGTGCTCTTTCCACTATACTACACTGCCTAGCCGTGGGCCACCTTTATTAGGATGTTGCCCACCAATCTGAGCCCAGGGCAAAAAAGCCAGTAATGGACTATGAGCTCTTACAGGCTCAGACTAAGTCAGACAGGTTGAGGCTTCCCTTGAGTAAGGTCCATCTCTTCCAAGAACCCCATCTTCTGTGATGGAGCTATCTCTACATTAAGAAATCTCACTTCTCTTCCATTTTGGGTCCCTGCCCTGCTGCTCAAAGTAACCAGATAAATTGACCCATTCCCTGTGATAGAAGTTAATCTTTATTCCCAAGGCTGATGGCTTAGCTTACACTTCCCCAAACACTAACCCTGGGCTTTCTTCATGGAACCTCTTGAGTGATGGATGGAAGAATTTTAAAAAATGGCTGGCATGAGGGCAAGCCAAGTAAGCCTGATGGATGGGGATGGTTGAATCAGTTTAAGAATCCAGGATCTTGAATGTTTGTGTTGTGCATCTCAAGTGCTTCAAAACTAAAACCAAATTTAGCATAAGAAAAGTTGTCTTATGCTCAGGGCAGAAATTTTGGCAAATTTAAACCCTCTGTTGGCTTTGAGTTGTACAAGGAGGATCAAAATAGCACAGGAAATGCTTTGCTTTTCTAGCTTTGCATGCTATAGAGCAACACGGCTCTACCTGCCTCACTCCTGTCCAGCAGTCAGGCATCACCTGACCTTTCCTCAGACCCAGGAGCACCTACTCGCAGAGCAGAACAGGCATCTTGCTTTTGGCATCTTTACCTTGGCTCCTTTGAGTTTCCAACTCTGAGTCACTCTGGATCAACAGAGGAGAATCAGAAATGAGTCCTTCAGGATTAATACTCTTGGACCAATGCAAGGAGAAATGCTTGGGTATCCCCAGCCCGGTCACTATCTGTCCATCCTGGGCCTAGTAATATCACACCTATTATTTTAACTACCAATGCTATTTTTTCATTGCATGGTGTCTCAAAGAATTTTCTTCTTTTTTGATCTGGATTATTGTAAAAATATTTTTGAAAATTCTTAGTCATAGTTTTCCATTTTTGAGTTTATGTGTAGACACTGTGCAGAGTTCATACATATTATATCCTCTAATCCTGTAGCGATCCTGTGATGGTCATAAGACTATTTCCAGTTTGTAATGAGGAATCTTGACCCTAAGAGAACTACTGGTTTGCTCAGAAATAGCTGGAGTCTGAGTTTGAACCCAAGTCAGTCTGAGTCGAGACCTCTTGCTCTTAGTAGGTATGGTGAATGGACATCTTTTAGCCTCAAGATGATTGTTTTAGTCCATGAACCATTTCAAAGATTTGTCTCTACTGCATGATTTTGGCACTTGAAGATAGGGAATTACCTGTGTTCACCCTCATCAGTGTCCCTTAAGCTTCCATTGAATGTGGACTGCAGTGACGCCAGTGTTGACCTTTGACAGAAGAGAGCAAGAAATACCACCCATCACTGGCTATTTCTTGAGAAGGAAGGAAACTGACATATGACTAAGGAAAACCCAATGCTAAAACCCTAGTGCAGATTCCTAACTGCGCCCCCAGATCCCCTCTCTGTCCTACGTCTTGGCTGGGTCATGTCTAATGATAAATGACCAATGGTCATGGTATCCGAAGCCTCAGAAAAACCTGTCATATGGACAATGCCTTTAAAAGCCAATCCTTTGATGCCTTTTTAAAAAAAAGTCAATTTCACATTTATTCATTCATCCTTTCATTATATTTGTTAAGCATCCACTTTGCATCAGGCATTATGCTGACACTGAAAAAGCAACCATTCTAACTAAAATAATAAGAGGCAAACAATGTTGAGAGAAGGGAGGAGTGGATGTGACCTCTGATGAAGCATCCTGTGTGAGTGCTTGTTGCTCAGAGATGATGTCAATCAACTCTGCTTAACAAATTCTCTTTATTCCCTTTATAATAGCGAGGCTCTGTGTAGGTGAAAATGTTGGAACCTTGCTAGAGCACCATCCTTGGGATTTATGCCATGAGCCCCCCTCATATTTACCAAATTTTTCATTCCGTGTATATTCAGAAAACATGCATGGAGCTTGGGTCAGGGGTTAAGTAGGACATAGTTCTTGATGTCAAGATTTGTGTGAGCAGAGGAGGCCTATTGATATAGTACCCAACAGGCAAGAGTGCCAAGGTAGCATAAGAGAGCAATGATTAACAGTCTTGAGTACCACAAAAACCTTTGTAAAAGGAGTGATGGATGAGTTAGGTTTTCAAAACAAAGAGGAACATTCCAGAACAAAAGAGCGAGCAGGGTATTTCATAAAGCGGGGAGAATTCACAAAGGCACAGAAACATCAAACACCATGGTGTGTTCTGCTGGGTGATGGGGTATTTCCAGGGCAGGAAGTATCATGCAGGGGGTGGTTCTCGGGTGGAGCACAATGAATTTTGCAGAGAGGAGGAAATAGACTTCATCATGCAAGGAGTTGGGAGCCACAGTCTTGGGTAGACTTGCACTGTTGAATAGTCTTGGTAGCTGAGTGGAAAATGGGCTGGAGGTGTGGAAGACGTGATGTGACTTTTCTAAAATGTCAGTTCTGAAAGGATCGATTACCTGCCTCGTGCTATATTACCTCCAAACAAAGAGTGAGTTTCCAGGCCATGATTCCTCTCCATAAAATTCTTTGGATAAAGCATCTTGAGAGAGATTTTCAACAAGAGGAAAATGTTCAGAGCTAATGCTTAATACACAGTTCCAGATTCTATTGCTTTGATGTACAAATGCTGAGAGAGGCGTTGTGTCATTGTAGCGCACTTAGCTCTAGCCTGGAGGGTGTGCATTTTTGAAATAGACCTGCATGCAGTCTGAACAAAAACCACACGCTATGGGGAAGAGAGGAAAAGGCATTTTCTATGGCACTGCATAAAAATTGGCTGAAAATCTAATGAGCATCTGACTGGAGAAAATGAATATTCACAAGGTGAGAATTTATAGGTGATGGGTTCATTTTGAGTTCATCCTCAATGCTTGGATTCGACACAGAAAAGAGATAAGAAAATTTGAATCAATCTGCCACACTGTGATTGGCCTGGGAAGTGAAGGGGTTTCAGAATATCTTCCCATGGAAAGGTGGGCAGGAGTTGGAGCGGAGATGAATAGGGATGAATGGTTACGGGGAGACAAGCTTGGCTCTGATGACTTTTCATGCACTAGTAATTGGTACCCAGTTGTAATGTCAGAGAACTATCCACCCACATAATCTTTCCCCACACTGCAAAAGGCACCATGAAGGTAGACCCCTACCTCAGCCCAGAGCCTCCCAGCTGACGCAAGTCAGTGCCTTACTTCAACCAGGTTGTACACATGAAAATGACCCCCAAACATTTCTGTAACTAATATGAGGTTATTCCTCTGTGGACAGCAAAAATTTTTTAAAGGACTTGGTAAGGGTGAATTTGAATGAGGAGCAGGAGGTTGTTACAGTAAGAACCCCACTGTAAACCATTGCTCTGTGCCACCAAATCACATATACTGAGCCTTGAATCCTGTCCCCGGTGGGATAACACATTGTCACTCACTCATAGTAATGTAGCAAGACAGTCATTCAAATATTTGACACTAGTATTACAGAGGACCACTGCTCTTGTCAACATGAGTGGAATGCTATATATCTGCTTCTTTGGTTGCTATGGATTTGAAAGAACCATTCACTTAATGACATGATACACTTCCGCAAGTCTAAAAGAGTAAACTAAGTTTGGACTCTTCTAGGAAGATGTGCATAGGGATAGACACACAGCCTACCAAGGCCAGTAACCCATGTTTGAATTTTGTATCCTAATTCAAGGCCCAAGAATGACCTGACTTTGACTTTGAACAGGTGTGAAAATAATTTACTTCTTACTTATTCTGTACACGCGAGTCAGCAAAAGCCCTTGGATGGTCAGCACAGTTGCAACTGACTTGAGGATGGGGAAACAGGTCTTCTTTTGTCTTTGCTTACTACTGAGTCCAGCTGAACTCTAGGATCATCACTCAGAGTCTGAGGAGAACCAAGGAAAAAGATCAACCCATGCTTTCCAGTCCCACAAAAAACAAAACAACAACAACAAAAAAACAGGGCACTCCACAATTCAAACCCTGACAAGATGTCTTATCTATTCCACTCCTGCCTTTCACATGAAGAAGCTACAGTTACCCAGGAGTCAGGGTGGAGATTTCAGGTGGGTGTTGTTTAGTGGAGAAGCCGCCTTTCGTTATTTTTATGTAGACAGTTCCCTGGACAATGTAGGCTTCTCAGGAATAGTAACAATCTCTAGGTTGGTGGGAGGGTAAAAATACAGAAATACTGGTTTGCATTGATTCATGCTTAGGTGGCAGTAGGTTTTGCAACTGATGTTTGGTGCCACTTGCCTTCAAGATGTCCCCCAAAGTTGGATCATTGCTATGAAAACTGGGACCTGCAAATGGAGAAGGAAGATCATGATCGATACAGGAAGGGACTCAGGTGCAGTTGGCATTGGCTTCAGCATGAGGCCACTAGTCTTACTGGTGGTCAGGTCCTCTGCTCCTTTCTCAGCCCTCTTTCTCAAAGATCAGGATGTGATGGCTGTGATAGGGCACTTCCTTAATCTCTAAGAAGGGTAAGGGAGACAGTCATTGCTAGGGCTTATGGGGTTGTGGGAGAATAGTGGTAGTAATACCCTAAACTCTCTTCTCCTCCAGTAAATTATGTTGTGTAACTTTCAAAAACCTAAAGGCCAGGTATTTCCTTTTAAAGGGAATCAGGAAGAGGACAACAGTAGGACCAAGGACAGAGGGGCCATACTAAAAAACATCACAGCTCCTTATACAGTGGCAAATATATTTGGGGGAATCGCATCCCTTCATTTTAACTCTGCCTGTATTGGTGATTGCTCTATTGGTCCTGCTCTATGGATGATTATTCGATGCCCCAGGACTGGGCTACCTTTAATTTCTGTTATCTGCGACACCCACTGAGTCCCAGAGTTTGCCCTCTCCAAGGAAGATGCAGGGTGGGGAGACTTAACAGTCCAGAGCCTAGGATGGTGCAGCTGGGGTATAGGGTAGCAGGAACCCAGGCTAGATAGGGAGTGTGGTGTTATCTAAAGCTGTGGGTGGTTTCAGTGATGTCTGTGTCTGACAATCGTCATGAGAGAGTACTACTGACTGTCTTCCCTTGTACATACATTGTCTGTGTTTAGTTTTTCTTAGTATTGTGAGGTTTCAAATAGGGGTTCCATGTACATACTTTTTCTGCTACTGAAATGCCAGCCCCCTGGATCATGCACAATTCCCACAAATGGTTTTGCCTTTCTCTGTGCTAACACTTTTGAGCCACTGATGTGCAGTTGGATGGTTATCTCCTGGGCTTTATTTTGCAATTTTATATATACACACACATATATAATATATATATTTATGGGTTGGTTTTGTATAGTTTTCTGTTTGAATCTCTGAGCACCAAAGCTGCCCTTTGATTTTCACAAGAACTTTCCAAAGCCACTTCCTGAGCCCTTTTGCTGCTTTGGTGTCTGACTGTGTTGCTGGGTGGTATGTCTGCCCGTGGGTTTCCATATGTATGTGCTGTTATCTCACCTGCAGATATTACCCTAGTAAATCTAATGTGCTTGGCTTCCTGGTGTGTGTGTGTGTGACCCATCTCTGTTGGCTACTCAGTTCTTCTGGCTCCAGGCTTGCTTTGTAATTCAGGCTGGACTTGAACTCACTTTGTAGCCCAGGCTGGCCTCGAACTCATGGTGATCCTCCTGCCTCAGCCTCCCAAGTGCTGAGGTTACAGGTGTGCACCACCATGTCTGGCAGGGGGATCCATTTATGCAATCAGTGACCACACAAGAAGCTTTCCCCCTCGTGGCCATTGTCACATGTGGAAAGCTGGACACTTGTATAATAGTGGGGGAAGGGAGGTCATAAAATACTAAAAGCCTCTGAAAAGGGAAAGTTGTGGATTTGAAAATAGCTCTGTGGAGCAAGATCCCTTTAGTCAGGTTGAGATAAAGGGTGGCAGAAACAAGCACATGGACCATCCTACAGTGGGGGATTTGTGGGATACAATGGAATGGGGTGTTGGGCAAGAATCAGAAGGCCAGGGAAAAGTCACCTCAAAGAGCGGAAGGGGATTGCAGCCACTAGGAGGGGAGAACAGTAGAGAAAAGAAAGCGTTCATCTTACTCACTCCCAGCTCTTCTTTATGCAAAACATAAAGAGAATGCTTGGTATTTTGTTGAACGTCCACGCACATCTTTAAGGTTTACACATAGCGCCTCATTTAATCCCCAGAGACCCAGGAGGTGTTGTGTCATTGCTACTTACTTCACAGAAGAGAAGACAGGCTTCTCTGAAATGAGACCTTTCCTGGGCCTCAAGTTCATATGTGGGGAGGTCTAAATCCAAACCGAGGTCTTCCAAGTAACCAGGCTCGTATTACTTCACCTGGTTCTTTCCAGTGCTCCCCCGCAGTTTCAGATGGTGATGGGAACCCAGGGCGGCCAGGTGTGGAACTCTTTCTCCTCCCCCTGTTCCTCTGCGACTAAGGAGATGCAAAAATGGGAGCAGCATGCCCTCTACCGGCCAGAAGTGCTAAGGAGCACGACGGAGCCCTTGGCCAGCCAACCCAATTACCACAGGGCAAAAGTGTGCCGGGAGAGGCAGAGGAAAGGATGCATCATCCAGGGCTGTGTCTGCTTGAGCAGGCAGTGAAATAGTGAGAGTCAGGACACTGGAAAATGTGATGGGGCCAACACTGGCCTCGCGAACTGAATAAGGTGCTGGGTTTACACTGCGGGAAGCAGGACAGTGCCGCTGAGTATACGTGAGAAAAAAGCGGGGTGGGAGGAAGATCTGCCTCAGCATCAGAATCCTGACAAGGTCAGTGAAGGCTG